GGGGCTTTAGGTGCACCTATAATGTTTTTAAACGGCCGCCATGTTTACATGGAATTGCTTCTATCAACTTCCAGACTCCAGGCTCCAGCAATCTGATTGGTTTTAAGCGCTCAATACGCGATTTTGTAAAAAATCTCCTCTTAATGCTTCTCCATTCTAGGACTAATGCTTTACGTGCATAAACTTGATGTTTTATATACGCCGGCCCCGGTATGATCCTCATGCATATATATCGATCGTGGTGTAAAATTATATAATTATTATTAGATGCATGTAGCTATATAGTTGAGAAGTTTTGTGCATATACCATTTTCAGTACGATTATAGTGATGTTTATATAGACTGATGTCCCAATGTATATTTGAAATTTATTTTTATTATACTGCAACAATCTGTGATAATAAGTTGCAAGAAATAAGATGCATTAGCGATCTTTCCGATATATTATATGCTTAAATCTGTTGCTTTGTTGGGGATAAGCGTTTAATCCCAGAGCAAACTGCCCACACTGTATATAGGCTACACCATTTAGAATGCAATTTTGTACAAACACCCAGCGGCAGTTTGAATTATGTATCACCTTTTTTAAGCATAGTTGTGAGTTGTGATTTAACAGTGCCAATGTCCTACACAGCTTAATGAAAAAATTGGAAGATTGGCCAAAACAATTTGACAAATAAAAATCCCTTACACACTTCACTGACCGGAACAAAAGATCAATGGGCACCTAATACAACATTTTCAAAATTTTGTAACGATAATGTGGGTTATAATTTTTGGGGTGTTGGCCTAATTCTGTCAATTTATAATTCGGGGGTTTCACTTGGAGTAGGAAACATGCAATATCGCCATTGACAAGGCTTCATCGCGTATATAAGTTGGTTAAACATTAGGAAAAACACTGGAAAATGTTCCGTGTCTTTTTATAGCCGATTGTTTAATGTATTTACTTTTTAGGTCTGGCAATGTATTTGTATTTCGTCGCATTACAGTCTCGCATGAGTAGATCTGGCAATTAAATTGCCAAAGAAGAGAACTATTTTGCATGACATTTCATACCAAAACTCATTACGACATGACAGTTCGCCTTTTTTGTTTGTTTTACTTCAAACATGTCAAACGAACTTTACTTTGTGTTATGAACTCATATAAGTATATTTGCGTTGTTAGTTTGAAAATGCTTCACCACGGTGGGAATCGAGCACGTGATCTTGAATTTGCTGACCAGGCATGTTCTCTTTATCAACCGAGATCTTGTGAAGTGTTACGCAGGCTAGTGAAGTGTATGCATGCACGCATTATACATGCACGGAATTTCTATAGGTTGTTATGCATGTTGTTCTATCGTCATGTTATAATATCAATGCACTTATACTATAATACATCCATGCACCACCGTCAACATGAATTGGCATAGCAATTTTACACATTATACAGGGTGTCCCAAAAAAAACGAAAACTATTGAAATCACTCATTGTTAAAATTTGAATGCCGTGCTCACGAATTTCAGCCCGTGGGGATTTAATGCAACTTATAAAATGATAAATGCTTTGTGTTGCTAGAGAAAGGGTACATATCGAAGGTTATGGTCCTTGAGATGCACATTTAAATAATGTTATCCAAATTTGTAAATTGTAAATATTGTTGATAAATATAATTTTTGCGAACAAGCAAATTTGACTGCATCATATGCATGCATAAAAATGCTTATGGCAACCCTGATTTATGCACTTGTGGGCCCAACAGAGTGCTTGGGCATTCAAACTCTAACAATGGCATTGTTATGGATGATTTCAATAGTTTTCGTTTTTTTTGGGACACCCTGTAGTTTGAGGCCTTTTCTATATAGGAGTCTTTCAAAGCTGTTTATAATAAATTGAAGGGTACTTAGATTGAGCACCAATGTATAATTATGGATAATGTTTGACGTCATATAGAACAAGCAAAATAAAGACCCATTTTAATACATTGTCGTGCATGCATTCTTGCAAAAATGTGTTCAACGCAGTATTTTGTTTTGTTCACAATATAAAAAAATATTGCATTTGATAAATCAGTTATATAAACCCAATGACATGCAATACGGGCTTAATAGTGAAAAATATACTTCTAAAGCAAGAATGCAATATGCATGGTCGCGTGTTTCCTATCCGCTCTTTTTCAACTTGATGGATTGCCAACTTATTAATCGTTTTTGCTAAAAACGCTTTACACTCATACACTAATAGTCCTTTTAAGTATCGACCTTATAACAGAACATGCTGTTTTGAGCATTTATGTCACTCAGTACTTAAATATATGAAGTATCTGTATACAATATGTGTACATGTAGGATCCATAGAGGACAACACAAAACCCCATGGGCTAACTAGTACAATTAAAACAAATATATAAATTATATTCCTGTGTTGCGACGTGCGTCATATAATCAATCAGGTAATAATGACCTTATAGTTATAAATTATGACCCCACATGATTTTCCTGTATTCTCACTGCATCCCCTGACAACTTCAATTAAACCACTTAAACGAAGGAAATTACCAAAATATTGTTTCTTAAGTTTCAGCTTCCGTTCTTTTGCTTCACCAGGCGGTTTTCTTACAAACATAAAAACCTAGCTCGCGCGAGCCAACGGGGTGGCGAGGAAAGGGTAATGTCAATCAGACTGAACAAAACCGAATGTTTTTGGCATGATGCATGTGAACGTATTGCATGGTGGGTTGAGGTTTGGCCTGAGGTCAAGACGCCTTCATGCGTGGTTTTATAATACAACGCGGATATTAATTGGACAATATGCGAAATATGCGTCGTGGCAATCTAGAAAATATTTTCAAATTTTGAAATTTTGCTTAGTTACATTTATCCCAATCCATTTAATTGATTTTTAAATGAAACAATTTTGGCCATTAATGAGTATCATATTATTTTATTAATTCATGAGAAATGCGAAAAAACATGTTTGTAAGACACAAGCGCGCAAATCATGTCATGCAGAAAAGGAAGTTCAAATATAGTAAATGCATTTTAGCATTCAAATAAATTTATACTTGTTTGTTCTCAAAAGTGTGCTGTAAGTACATCGGTGGGCCGTAGGTCTATTTTCAAAGACAACAAAGTCCACTTGATTTTAAAGATCAATCAAGGTTTTCAAAACTGAAACTATATTTGAATATAAATTTCCTGATACGAATAATTGTATATACAAAATACTCAATTTAGGCGCAACTATAACCTTCCATTTATTATCGGTACCTGGAAGTTTACATATGGTATATAAATCTTTAATCAAGATAAAATTAAACATATATATTTCATCAAAATGAAACTTGTTAAATTATATGCAAAACGATGTCCAGTTGAACGTTATTAAATCAAATCGTTAGACTATCAATGTATTACGGCATATGAAAGTGGCAATTTCGTTGAGACCCCGTGTATACAATTTATAGCTTAATAAGGACTGAGTTCTGAAAATTAGCAGTTTTCATTTTGTTGGACTATATAAATGATATGATCCAACCGTTAATTATGACACCTTTATTAAAAATATTACAATTGTTTTCGTGCCCGCAAAATTGCGCAAACACGATTAAAGTTTGCCAAGTCACGCAAACAATCCATGAGAGAGAATTTTTTGAGTTGATTAAGGAAGAGCGATCTTTGACACATTTTGTTATCCCAGGGATTATGTAATTGTTTTAGCTGCTACAATAGCAGTTCTAGATTGTGTAAACACGATTTAAACTTTCAGTATCACGCGATGATACGGACGAGTATATGTTTTTCCCCACGGTGACGGTATTTGATGAAATTTTAATGGCATTTACGCCAGGCTATGTGAGGTCATCATATTCACGTTAATCATCGACGACGAGACAAACCTTACTGCATGCACTTATGCATGGACAAAACAGTTTAGAATCAAGGGTCCAATGAAGTATAGATTCGAGGTCATACAAATATGAATGGTTTCTCCTTCAGAATATCTTTTAATGTTGTTCTTCTCAGGTTACTGTGGAGATTTAAGGACATAGTCGTAGACTGAAGTAGAGACGTATAGAGACCAGACAGAAGTATATTTTAATTAATTAATGAACATTGTAATGAAAAGCTGCTGGCTTTTTGGCACTCCGCAAAAAACTGCCATTTGCTTTTCTCACACTTCATTAGTTTTGGGGGAAATCAAGAATTCCTTGCCTGTGAGAATGTAATTAAATCGTATCTAAAATAATTAAAATCGATGGGCCGTCATTGTTATAATTATGTTTCTAAAGTATTTTTGGATAGAAATAAAGGATTAACGAAGCTTAAATTTCGGTTCACTAAAGTTGTCACGAATAGCTGTGACCTAGCTTATCATAATTATTATTAATTAGTAACTAATGACGTGTGGCAAAGAAAACCCTGGTACGAGGTTGGTTTTAATCTATCAATTCGGCATCATTCAGCAATCATTCACCGATCATTCATTTTATTCATGGGGTGGGTAAGCTATAGCTATACTGTAATTATATACCCAGCTGTAATTATTGATCGATGGTTTTAATTTGTCTAGCCATTTAGATAACGCGACTTGCATTGTATCGTAATGAAATAAAATAAATTTATTTACCAGTTCAAAAATCACGTGGGAGGGCTAATGATTCAATAAAAAAATCTATGAAAAAGTCATTTAAAATAAGATTACAGTTGGCGATGTAACCAACATTGTCTGTATATACAACACAATATATGAATACAATGAATACAAACTACAAACTGCATGGAATTCGTATTCCAGACAAATTTAAAATAACAGCTTCTCCGAAAATGCGCAAAGTATCTGATACATCTCCTCCAATCGAAAATGCGCAAAGTATCTGATACATCTCCTCTAATTTATCATGCAAAGCATGATGCGTGAAATGTTCAATAAGGTAAATAAATCATCAAGAAAACAATCAATGTGTTGGTCACTTGATCATTCTTTTAAAGTCGTATTTCCGCCGCATTTTCTAGATTTCAAAGTTTACAACGGAGCACAGAAAACAATGCGACTAAAGAAGTCTTCATGAAAGTGATATACAGTAATGATGGTTACGGAATGCCTTACGGTTTGACGATTGTTTGTCCGACCACCTTTATGAATAACTGGATGGAAGACAATCCTGATAGTTTTAGTTTCTACGAAAATATGTGGCAAGTCGATAAAGAAGGTTACGATAAATGCCAGGTAAGTATTCATTATTGATCTCAACCATACAGGCATATGCAGTACAGGCACATCGCAGGCACTGTTCATTACCGTTACCTTTGGAACAACAGTGTCTGCATTACTGTAACATTCCATACATTGCGAACATGCTCCGAAAAACAACGTCTATTTATATGAAACAAGGCAAAAATGTGCAGTGATATTAACGACATTTTCAAACCAATGTTGATTACTATATACCACTTGTCAAAGTTTGGTGTTCGTAGCGTTCCATTAGTCGGGAGCGAATAACGGGCGAATGACCAAATTTTGATGCCCCTCCCGCGACCCCGTGCAGAGGGAAATAACGCGTTACTTTCCATGGGAAATAACAACTTTAATCACGTGCGGCGCACCTGGATATGCGACCTTTAGACTGTTTATCCATTTGAAATTATGTTATTTATGATTTATGCATTAGATATTTCGTTTTTTACCTTGTTGTTTGTTTTTTCTTTGACTGGTGGTATATAAAAAAAATCTTATTTACCGAGACCTCATGCAGGGAACATTATGTTTTGTTATATAGGTGTTGTGTGTTTTAAATGTGATTGGTTCATTCGGTTCATAAATGCAACGTTTCCCGCCAGGGAAACAAGTGAAAAATTGTTGCCCGCATATTGTCATAACGAAATAAAGTGATTTTTTTAAATGAAATTGTTGTGTAACATGTATGTTTTCGTTCCTGTGTAACGAAGCACTTAATGGACACTACCTCGGGAAATAGTGAGCTTTGTTTTCCCTAGAGTTTGAAAGTTGGGGATGACTCAGACTCTTGGGAAAACAAAACTCACTGTTTCCCTCGGGAGCATACATTAAGTGTATATTGTGGACCCTCGATCGTCGATATTTCTGTCGATCGACAGGTCCCGGTTCCACAAAACATAACGTTTCCTTCGGTCGCAGTAAATACATAAGTGTTAATTGTCTTGTTTTATATAACTCGTACTTCGGTTTTACAAGATGTTGTTTTTAGGGCATATCTCTCGTCAAATTGTCTGCTGTGAAAGGGTTTTTATATTAGCCAAGTATCTTTGCCTCTGTAAAACGTAATATACACTATTCCTCCCATTCAGTTACGTATATATAATTATTTTGTCTTATCACACTAATTATTAGGTGAATACGAAAGGCAAGCCAGTGGAGAACAGGCTATTATTGACGTGTGATAACAAAGAGAAGATAAAAAAACATAGTTTCTTATTTATGGAAACCTGGGTTCCAGAAGATCAAGCCTTTCCAAAGTTTGAGAAAGGGAAACACTATTATTTCATTTGTAAGTTTATCGCTTTTTTAGTGATTACAAGGCAAGGTTTAAGATATTTTTTGTAGTTCTCTTCGTGAAATTGCGTTGGCATTATATACAAAAAGCAAAATTTAATATTACGCTGATTAATTAGGACGGCTATGGGTAATCATATGGGTAATCGAGTATAATTCGAGATTATAGTGCACGAGTGATGTTTGAAAATTTCGGCCATCTCCATTATTTAGCGACAAGCAATGGGGAGGAGCCAGTTCTCAAAACCCGTAAAGTCAGTGGGAAAGATGGAAGCTGCGAGAAATATCATATGAAATTACACATCTATGTTTGTGACCTGAAAAAGGGTAAGTAGAATATGCTAGGTCTTTTTGCTCGTTATTCAATTGGCAAAAAATACTTAATTGGTGTGGTTGATACAGAATCGTTCTGGCTGGCTAGCATAAGTTTATCATTAGCAAACTCATTATCACTCGAAAAGTTATTTATTAAAATTCAAGGATGTACTGATAAAGATGATGTAGATAATGTAGGGTGCAATAGACCCTTTGCATGTTAGACTACTTTTTGATCTGTGCAAAATAATCCAATCAAATCACCACAGCTGGAAAAAGCGTACCAAAATTAGTAAAAATGCAAAGTTTGGTTGCGAAATGTCGTAAAATGCGGAAAATATACCCTTGCAAAGTTTGCAAATTTGTATACTTTTGCTTCACGCACGCAAAATGTTACCATTCTGGGCCCAAAATGTGGTAACTTTTTGCGTGCGTTAAACAAAAGTATACAAATTTGCAAACTTTGCAAGGCTATATTTTCCGCATTTTACGACATTTCGCAACCAAACTTTGCATTTTTATTAAATTTGGTACGCTCTTTTCAGCTGTGCTGACTTGATTGGATTCCGACCAAAAAGTGGTCTAACATGCAAAGGGTCTATTTTTTTACTTTTGACAAGTACTAGCTAAAATACGAGCAGCCGATCTGTATGGATATTTACAATGGCGAGGGCATGTATATGTGTAACAACGTTATGGATACTAAATAAGATTAGTTATATCAGGGTTTTATCAAAGTTAATATATGAATTACTAATTCATAAGACCTTTATGGAGAATTGCAGATGTATACATGTGGCCAAAATACTACGCAATGATTGGAAGTTAGACTCATTAATTATTCATGATTTTCATAACTGCAATTAAGCAGTAGGCCAATATAGCAATTTAAGTCAAGACTAATGAGCAATAATGGATATATGTAGCATTGTTGTAGTTTTAGTAAGTAGTATTAATTTCCTATTTTTCCATCCCTCTTTTCAGAGGACTGTGTTTATGAGTTCCCAAAGTGTGGGCCGCCACCTGAACTTTATAGGGATATGCATTTGATTGGCGGGAAGCTGCCTGCAGTGACGCAGCCACCGCCTATAAAAACAGTTAGGAACACACCTCAAACAACTGAGAAAATAGTTGTCAAGCATAAAGTCAAGGATAACCCCACAACGCTAGGGGATGCTGTAAAAAAGCCGATTTGCGATGTGGAAGAGAAAGGAAGTAAGTAATCAAGTAACGTCATCATAACCGAAACAAAACGAGTAGTAACATAAGGACTAGACCCTAGTATATCCATTTGACTCGGACCTATATAGCATGTCACTACCATTGGCAGCTTCAAAACATTTATCTTTGCTTTTTGTGATGTATGCAAATCATGTACTCGTCATATTTGGGGGTAATTTTCAACTTTCTTCACGTTTTACCTCTCAAGAGGATTACTTCGTCAAATTGAATTACATGGTTCAAAATAACAGTCGATGACCGGACAATGAGCTTCAGTTTCAGCTTGCATTCACGTTAAAGGTTGCACTGTGATTTGGTCTCGATTTCATTATGTCTAAGTTGATTATGCAAACTTAAAACTACCCAATATCATGCTAATATACTCATTTCAATTGTGGGCTAAATATCCATTATATTTTTGCAGCATCTATTCATCTCATCCTAAACTTCGTGCTCGGTGGGGTTGCCTTATTCATGGCTGTCGTGATTATTATTTTGGTCTGCGGATTATCGTAAGTGCTTGTTCAGTATCCCTCTCAGGTGTTTCAATTCAGAAATACGTACTTTGATTTAACTATCTCTAGAAAGTTGCCCAAATTGAACTATAGTCCTGATACATTTTTGTTCGACAGGGATAAAAGCAAGAAATTTGAGACGGATCGCCCAACTTCTGCGATGTCGAACAACCATGGAGGTCATATAGTGAACGCAGAAATTGTAAACGCCGAGATGGTGAGGTACAGTGATGGACATGTAGAATTATCCCCCGTGGTGTTGAGCCGCACACCTCCTACATCCCCAAGTATGATCATACCACCCTATCCAACATTACAAAGGATTCACTCTCAACGACAAAACGTTCCTTCCGATAATGCGCCTACAGACGACACTTCACCCGAACAATTGAACATGGAGCGAACCCCGCCTGATCACTTCCCCCTGGAGACGCCGCCTAGCCGCTCCCCGGAATCCCCGGGTCGGGCATTCGAATTTCCTGAACAGGCAAAGGCTGTCGACTCCGAAACGACCTCAGAAGATCAGGAAGTTCCGATTCTGGCCCGACAACCGCGGCTATAGTGACAAACCCACAAAATGACCACGAAGAAGCCACGTGATGCGTCTTAAACATTACGTGTTTTATCTCTACGTGACCGGCGATCCGCCAAGATGTCACATGTTTACAGCTGTCGGCTGAAAATTACGTTGAAAACGTATCTAGTTATAGTGAATCCCTGACTTCGTATTTGCCGGATGTCATATAATGACTTCACACACTATAGACAAACGAAAGAACACCATTTACGTGTACTTGTAGGATGCACTGTCAAACAAGATATAGCAATTATATATAAGGCATTTAGCAGTTTATTTGTAAATATGTTTTAGGTGTACTATAAGAAGCTCTTAGACAGCTACAAACGAAAATATCATTGGGAAAAAATTTCATTAGGAAAAAATTTCAAACTCGTACTAGACTAGTTCGTTTGCTTGCCTCGTCAGAAATAAGATGCATGCTAACTTTTTAGCAACCGTATTTGTAATGCAAAACTGCATGAAATAGTTACAGGTCAAATAAAAAAGTTTTAGTTAGTAAAATATGATCGCATATTATAACTAAAATCTTGCATGGATCTTGTCTATCAGAAACCAGACAGGCGTAAGAGTTTAAAAGTACATTTTGTCATATACGACAATTTGATCAACTGTAACTGGTTTCATTGCCTGTTAAAAAGTCTTGTTATACACGGTGTAGTTTTTATTATTTGAAGAATTCTTTTTATTTGAAGAAAAAAGCATTGAAAACCTATAGTCACTGACCATGCAGTGACTATCATTTCAGAGACAGTCAGTTTTGACCAATCAGAATCAGGAAAATCAATAATCACATAGAAATTTATACGAAAGAAATATAGTAAAAGTTTTCATTTTTTACTATACGACCATTCCACCGTATATGTATAGGTAACTGGCATATTAAGTCCGGGGCTTGTAACTGCATGTAAGGGCTTCAGAGTTTTTTTAGTTACAATGCTCAAAATTATACCAGAATTAAAAAGGTCCGTCCGGAAAACCTAACACACTCCAACAAGGACAAAGAGCCCCTCCTTTACAACCTCAATTTTCAACGTATGCCGTCCAGGTTTCACGCGAAAAGCAATGATTTCAATCAACGTTCGCCCAGCGGTATTTTTCAACATTAACTGTCGTGGATATTTGCCATCTAACAAAACGTTCGCTGTGCCACATAACCAACATGATCTAACTGAAATCACAACCGAACGGCCGTTAATATTCCGCTGAGAGACAGAAGGAGGGACTGTGAACGAAAGTTCCAAGAAGGAGCCGGGAGATTTTCCAGTCCACCATCTGGGTAAATCAAGACGGCAATATTTGCATTTCTTTAGTTTTAATAGTTCAGGTTGATCTATTAGACTGCGCACAGAAAACCCTTTGATTTTCGTAACGTCCACGTGAAAGTTATTGTCCACTACGTCCTTTTTATAATTTGGTGTGAGAGTATTCCAGCAAAGAGGCTTGATGTTTAAATGGCCTGGATTTATAAACGCTGACAGAGGAAGTTGAATATTTACGTTGGAAACTCCATGTGACGTGGAGCCTCCATCATGTGGACCTCTGTTTAGGCAGAATACATGATCACTTGTTGTACATTTTTTTACAGCGCGTAAAAAATCAAACAAGATTGTTCGGATCAGGTTTATAATCATCAACGCGATATACGCATGCCCCAGCTGGTTGATATGCATCTTGCATGTCCGTGCTAACAAGATCGCGACAGGGGTTGAGAAGAATTTCTTCTCGCGCACAAACAGCATCCTTCCAACTCAGTGTTGTTACATTGTAAAGACTGGTGAGAACATTTTGACCAAAGTTTTCCAGATTAGAACATGTAGAGTTACAATTCTGAACTGGGAAGAAATTTACGTACACTAATGCTGGTTCAGTTGGATAGCTAAGAAGCTGTCTTGTTAACTGTTCTAGGGGTATACTTTTGTTGCCAATAAAATTTGGTTTTGCCATGTCGTTTACAGCCGTTTCAAGAAGGACTAAATCGGGTTTCTTGTGAATATACGAACCAAAACAATATTGAAAAAAGTCACTACATGTACCACGTATCCCAATTCCACGCATCTTGAGTTTTGACCCAGAGATGGGTGTGATTATATGGCCCCACCAACCGGCGATAACCCTATGATATAGCCCTTGAACGCCACTAGCCTCCGTTTCTAAACCGCCTCCTGCAGTATGTGATCCCCCGATTGCGTCCAAGTAGACATCTTCGCCTCGCAATACTTTAAGTAGTTTTCTCCTTAATCTCGCGTTGTCCCCGTTCTTAATCACAGCTTGTAGTTTGTCCTCGTGGATGCGGATGTCTTTCATTGATGAATATTTATGTTTGAGATTCCATATTTTGAAAGGATGAATAAGCAATGCATTTTGAAGTTCCGTTAAATATGCATTTGAAAGCACATTTCCCCTCACTTGTGTGAAATTTGCGATCACTTTCTCGTTATTTTTGGAAGATTTTATGGGAGGAGGATAGGAAATGACATTCAGTGGAGATTGCGATAATATCTTCCAACCGAAGGTATTAACCTGTTTTTCCGGCAGAGACGAAACATTCTTGACTTTCGTTACGAGTTTTCCTTTGACGCAAGACCAACCTGTATCTGTCAGCGCAACGAAAGAAATTAAATCACCGTCGATATCCAGCAATAAAATGAGAATAAAGGAGCGTTAAATTTGTTTCAAAGATGTGATCATAATAGATTGATTGGTGGTAGATCGGGCATGCACGCTTCTTCACTTCCCAACAGGAAAACAACTAGAAATAATACAACAATCGTAATCTGCTTGTGTCCAACTGGTAACACTATTGTTGTGTGTGTGTAAGTGAGGCGAAGTTAAGTCTATTTATCGCAGGACTGAGGTCTCGCATTGACTCTTTATCAAAAAGAAATCCCCGAGAGCTCGAGTCCGGACTGTCCTTGTGATTCGGACTAAATACCTCGGAATCCAACTTGTTACCCAAGACCTAGGATAGAATTAACGGTGTCCACAACAAAGATCAATTAAGGTCACCCTGTGAGAGACATTTGAAGGAAAAGTGAACGACAGTCCTGAATAGGGTTTTGCGGCCAGAGGGTTTTGCCAATCCATGCACATCGCAGCTAAATCACGACGGTAAGTACAATTGATTGTATAGCTTTTTTACTGCATATGAAAAAACTGTTGGTTTTGGTAATCACCACCTTAAATTTTTGTCTGTTGCATTCATTTTTTTATAATTCGGTGAGGGTGTTGTCCAGCAACGTGGACTAATATTCAAATGGCCAAGTCTATAAACGCTGGCGGAGGAAGAATTCTTACAGACAGCTAAGGCTAAGCCTTCCCGTAACGGCGTAAGATTTTTCTGATCAGGTTTATAATTATCAACGCATGCATATATTAATGTCCGGCCAGTTGGTTGATATACATATATGTATCTTGTCTTTCCTCACAAGGTCGCGACAAATGTTGAGAAGAGATTCTTGTCGCATATAAACTGCATCCTTCCAACTTAGATATGTTATATTGTAAAGATAAATGAGAACATTTTGACCAAAGTTTTCAATATTGGAACATGTATAGAGTTACAATATCCTGGTTGGGAATTTTCGTACAAATGCTAGTTGAGTTGGATAGCTAAGAAGCTGTCGTCAAGTGCTCTAGGACTAGGGGTATACTCCTGACTGCATGCTGCTGTTAAAATTTGGTTTTGCCATGTTGTTTACAGCCGTTTCAAGAAGGATTAAAATCACTAAATCGGGTTTCTTGCTTACGTCGTTGAGCAAACTTTAAATAACAAAATGTTCCAATCATGCAGTCTGGACTTGATTCAATGCTATTCAATTATTTCAATATACCCTAAGTATAGAATGTGTATATATATAGAATAAACGGTGTACAACCAAGATCAATTAAGACGATACTGTTTTAGTCATCCTTGCGATTAAAAAGGTCCGTCAGGAGGACCCAACATCACTCCGACAAGCGAAACTTTGCCCTTTTTTACAACCTTAATATTTAAAGTATGCCGCCCAGGTTTTACACGCAATGCGATGATCTCAACCAATGTTCGTTCAAACCGTAAATCTTTTAAGTCGAACTGTCGTTTCTTATTAAAGTTGTTATCTACCCAAATATTCGCTGTGCCACATATCCAACATGATCGTAAAGAAATCACTACCGAACGGCCATTAATCCCCCTGTGGGAGACATTTGCAGGAACGGTGAACGACAGTTCTGAATAGGCGCCGAGGGTTTCGCCGGTCCACATCGTATATAAATCAAGACGGCAAGATTTGCGGCATTTGTTTCTACGCTTTTTCATTGCGTATGAAAATCCGTTGTTTTTGGTGATCACCACGTCAAGATTATTGTCAGTTACATTTTTTTTATAATTTGGCGTGAGGGTTGTCCAGCAAAGTGGACCAATGTTCAAATGACCAGATCTTATAAACGCTGGCGGAGGGAGTTGAATATTTAGCTTGGAAATTTCGTGCGAGATGGATTTCACATCAAGGTCACTCAAAAAATTATTCTTAGCAGCTAAGCCTTCCTGTAAGATTTTTCTGATCAGGTTTATAATCATTAACGAGATATGTGCATGTCCCAGCTGGTTAATATGCATCTTGTCTTTGCTCACAAGATCGCGACAAGTGTTGAAAAGAGATCCTTGCCGCATACAAACTGCATTCTTCCAACTCAGAGTTGTTATATTGTAAAGATAAGTGAGAACATTTTGACCGAAGTTTTCAATATTGGTGCATGTAGAGTTACAATTCTCAACCGGGAAGAAATTTACGTACACTAATGCTGGTTCAGTTGGATAGCTAAGAAGCTGTCTTGTCAACTGTTCCAGAGGTATACATTTGTTGCCAATAAAGTTTTTCCTCCACATGTCGTTTACAGCCGTATCAAGAAGGACTAAATCGGGTTTCTTGTGAACATACGAACGAAAACAATACTGAAAAAAGTTACTTGGTGTGCCACCAATCCCAATTCCACGTGTCCTGATTTCGGACCCGGTGATAGGTGTTATTATCTTGCCCCACCAATCCGCAATGACTTTATAATATACCCTTTCAATGCCAGTAGCCTCCTCTGTATCTAAACCGCCTCCTGCAGTATGTGATCCCCCGATTGCGTCCAAGTAGACATCTTCGCCTCGCAATACTTTAAGTAGTTTTCTCCTCAATCTCGCGTTGTCCCCGTTCTTAATCACAGCTTGTAGTTTGTCCTCGTGGATGCGGATGTCTTTCATTGATGAATATTTATGTTTGAGATTCCATGTTTTGAAAGGATGAATAAGCAATGCATTTCGAAGTGCTTTTAAATCTCCGTTTGAGAGCAGATTTCCTGTCATTTCTGGTGCAGTTATGGTAAACTTCTCGTCATTGTTGGAAGATCTTATGGCAGGAGGATAGGAACCGATATTCAGTGCAGATGGCGAAATCTTCGAAACGGACATATTAACCTGTCTTTCCGGCAGTGACGAAGCATTCTTGACCTTTGTAACGTGTTTTTCTTTGCCCCAACACCAACCTGTATCCGCCAGCGCAACAACAGAAAATAAATTGCCGTCGATATCCAGCAATAAAATGAGGATAAAGGCGTAAGAAATTTGTTTTAAAGATCTGATCATGATAAATAGATTAATCGGTGATAGATAGGGCATGTTTCTTCACTTCCCCACATGAAAAGAACTAGAATTGGCAATAATCACAAACTGCTTGTGCCCAACTGGTTGTATTAATCACCCGTTGTTTGCTATAACTTTGATCAAATCTTAGTATTCCTAAATCAAGGACCCCGTCAGTTAATCATTGTTGGTTCAAGGCTACTTCAACAGAAATTTTCAACAGTAAATCTTTCGATCTGGACTTGTTTTAACTGCTATAATTTATCCAAATGCAGAATATAAAGAAAATATGTCTGTAACAACGTCAATCAATAATCCGATCTCATCGATTATCCTCGTATTTTGTTCGGGGAGCAAACTTTTCAACCGTTCTTCATTTTGTGTAGAAAAATTGACTAGAAAAATTTCTTGTTGCGTTGGCGAATAGCGACCTCTTGAATCTGTCTACGCATTTATAGTGAAACATATTTCGTTTTAAGGTGCGGGATTTTATTTTTAGCTATTAAAATGTGAGGGCCATTTCCTTTACGCCAGAGAAGTATTCTTCCTGATCTTCTCTCGATCTGCTGTCTGTTCCAGATTAATATCATTTTCACAGCTGTATATGGTCTAGACACCAAACGTAAACACAAAACTTTTCGTCTGCAAAAGAAAGTCACTATTCCAGTCAGGCATATACGAGGTCGACCGGGACAAGTCGGTCAAATCGAGCATCGCGGCTTGAGATAGATCATAGATCGATGACATCAATAAACGTGACGAAACAAAATGTTGGTATAAAAACGGCACATTTATAAATAAGGGATTCCAACATCACCTGTCATTGCTCGCGCAGAAGCGTTCTGAGTAAACAAAACAATATGTATTTTACCACAAAGTAAACATATTCTTCCCCCGTGATTTTACTTTCAACTACCAGGTTACCTGCAAGGTAGGGATTGCTGCGAACATTTTAGGGTCCAAGTGAATTGTTATATGAAATGTTAGTGAACTAGATCCGTTTTAACTAATAGCAATAGCAGGTTTAAAAAACGCAAAGTGATCCTCTATTGATATAGTTCGTATATAAACAGCATGAATCTAGCTGTGATCGATTGTATGCTTTTAGCGTTTCATGAATATACCAGTTAAAATTGTAAACAACTGTAAACGTAACATATGAACGAAAGATGAAAATATCTTACCTTGAATAGTCAAAATAGAGCAGAAGCTTGAAAATTTAACAAAAATTTGAAGATCCTGTGCATCGAAATTAAAAAGCACATGGATATGAGCGAGTTTAAAATGTGTGTTCTACGCATAAAAAACGCGCACGACCACAATTCCTTGCGCTAATAAAATTTAGTTCAGAACCCCCTCTCTGCACAAATTAGACTGCTGCTACGCTCGCTCGCTTCAGGCTCGCTCGCTCCGCAGCAATAATTGTGGACGTCCAAGCCCGTAAAGTGGAAGCATTATATTCGATTTTGTAAAACAATATGGCGGCGTAAAATTGACCACACATTGGAGTTTATTCCATTCATCAAATTGTAAAAAATAGATTTCGAGACAAAATCGTTGCAACGATGGGAAAAGACAAAACATCGAGACGTCCTAGAGGAAGTTTGGTTCAAGATATTGCTCAATCTGACGCAGTGAAAAGAAAAAATCGTCCCGCAAAGGAACGATCACGACAGAGCGACAATATAGATCAGGTTATTATATACAACGTTGTTTTCCAAGGTGGTATGAAATCATGTCGATAAAAAATCATGTTATTTACTTGAATGCCTCTTGTCGTGAAGGAAATCAGTTTCTGCAGTTCCTTTGATACACGAACGTTCACATTTTTGTTCACAGTATGTTAGTGATAAACTCAGCAGAAAAATTCTTGACCAAGCACTGGATCAACAAGATGAGCTTGAAGCGGAGTATGGTGCTGTGGCAGCAAAGAAAGGGAAGAAATCTTTAGCTGAAGCAAGGACATCCCTTGGTGGTATGTCCAAACATGGTGCAGGTGGTAGTGATGCTGAAAGTGACAGCAGTGAAGAACAATTTTCTGAAGGAGAAGATCAGTATTATGAAGATGTGGTAAGCATGCCAGTTGAATGGATGATTTAATCAGTGGTGTCAGAAGCAGTTCAAGGCAGTGGGGGCTGAGTCTTAGAAAAGGGCACATTCATTTTACGAAGCACATAACCACATAACCGCCAACTTGCACGTTGTAGGGAGAATGCATTTTTAGGGAGGATTATTGCGAAGAGAAGGCATAGTAATTATAGCATGGCTTTAAGCTTAAAATCAAGATCAGATTTCTTCTATTTGAGCTACCTGTTTACTTGGTAATTCCATGTTCAGTAAATATCACATACACAAAATGAAATTAAGTTAGGATTACATTTAGGATTAGAGTTAAGTCTAATCAGCCAATAATTTAGGAAGTATTCCTAATCCTAACCAAATCTTGGGGAATAAATTTGTATATTTAGGATTTACTTTAGGATTTACAATAATCCATCAACTGGTAGAAACTCTTTCACTGTCTGACATCCAATGCGGTAATTATTAAACTAGTTCCTTTGGGTTAACAAGAGGCACTAGCAGATGTGGTCCAACTCGTTTGCAAATGACATGTAATCACAGAAACTATATTGTAATTTCACATCAATGGTGTACTTTCGCTCTGCTATGTGTTTTTTAAAGTACTGCTTTTCCAAGTTAGACTATTTTTTAACCTACAAAGCTAATCATTATTAAATTATTGAATGAAGATAACTACTGAAAATTATTTCTTAAATGATTGGTAACCAGAAATAGCAGAGGCTAAAAAGGAACATTCTTTTGGAAATTGAAAATTTGTATTCCAAATTCAACAAGACAGCATGGGTGTAAAACTATAAAATTTCTAATCTAAAATAAGTAACATTTGAGATGAAATATTTTCAAAATAACTAAAAGTATTTTCAAAATAAACAGTAAAATTGGATGGCAAATCATTGTATTTTAAATGAGACATAAAATGCAAAATATTTGTATGTACTTACTTGCAGGAAACTTGGGTAGCCTTTTAATCTGCCATTACTTTCTCTCCGTTGAATAATTATCTTATGATTGCACAAATCACTTTTAGGATGGAGTGATGGACCTGTTTAAATAAAACGTAGAATAAGGGGAACATTTTCCATTTTAAATGCAAGCATTATAGTTTTTGCCAAAGCAACTTTTATCTAATATTTTTTACTTTTGCAAGTATTTTCGTTTACCTTTCTGACCTTATAGCTTGTATGCAAATATCTTCTTGCCATTTTGTATATTTGGTTTGTCAGAGTCATTAATTGTAATACAGTACAATTAATTAACAAAATAACTTAACTCATCTCTACCAATCAGCATCCATCAATTTTATCATGCTAACTAAATAACAAAAAATATAATCAATAAATTACGGATATAATAGAATAAATACAGAATACTTCGGAATGGATTTTCATTTCGACAAAATGACAACCCTTTTGAGATGATTGACTAAAATATGAGCGCCAGGTCACCTGGAAGGACAGAATATTGCCGTTTAGAAATTTAAAATAAGATCAGCCTGACCGTTTTAATGGAAGCGCCCAAGGCAAAGTTCTCAGTCGAAAATACCAGCCCTTGATTTGACGTGACAAATAATTAGCCATTTATCCCAGGTGGTGGATGAAGATGATGAGAAAGCCTTGGAGATGTTCATGTCAAAAGAACCACCAGAAAGAAGAACACTTGCCGACATTATCATGGAAAAAATTAAAGACAAGAAAACGGAAATTGAAAGCCAAATGTCGGAAAAAAGTCTAACACCACCCATGGACGAACGACTTATTAAAGTTTTTAAAGGGTAATATAGTGTGATATCTGTGCAAATACCATTAATAACTAATACTATACTATACACAATATCATCGCGAATGCGTGGGCAGTTTGATAACAAAGTTTGTGCACTAGCTGTGCATGCAACTATGCGAATATTAATATTGGTTAGAATATGTAATGCTTCCTTTTTACATTCCACAGTGTTGGTGACATCCTCAGCAAATATCGTTCTGGCAAGTTACCAAAAGCCTTTAAGATCATTCCATCGTTACAGAATTGGGAAGAGGTGTATATATTATCACTGTAACTGTATAGGAAACTATTTTAGAGATTATAACAGGGGCCGGTTGTATCAAGCCCGTTTAGCTTAAACGGTGGATAAGTCAAAGTAAAGAACACTCTTACATCTCTCTTGAATGAGTCAACTTGAATATTATATGCACTGAATATGTAGTTGTAAGCAGTATCTTTGTATTAAGCTGTAAAAAACATTTAGTTTGCTTCTTGAATAAAACGATAGACTGGCTTGCTACTTTGAACTTATCCACCGTTTAAGTTAAACGGGCTTGATACAACCGGCCCCTGGCCTATAAGTTTGACTGATATTAATAAGTGAAACTCCGTGATACATAAAACCAACCAGCGAAGTAAATGTCGAAGTTTTACAAAATTACAGGTAGTCTATGTGACAAATCCCGAAAGCTGGACGGCTGCGGCCATGTATCAAGCAACGAGAATATTTGTATCAAATCTAAATGCAAAAATGGCGCAAAGGTAAGAAATTATTGCTTTTCTTTCATTAGTTCAGTATTACTCAGTTGTTTAGCTAATGCTTCGTAAAAGGCTCGTATATATACTCTTTTGTATACCTTTAAGGTACTGCTTACGTTGCTCAAGATCACGAATGAAACCATATTAATAGAATAGGAATGATCTGTAATTCCCTTTTAGGTTCTTCAATCTAGTTTTGTTACCTCGTGTTCGAGATGATATAGCGGAATACAAAAGGCTGAACTATCATTTATATCAGGTGTGAAAATGGTATCCTAAGCATTTTGATATGATATAAGATATCCGTAAAAAATATGCTAAGCGATTTCAGACGTTGTTCCATATTTATGTGACAAGCGTTTAGTTAATATAGTTTAACCTTAATTGTTCAACGTTTTCGCATATAATTACACGAATTTTCCTACAGTAAAATATTTTATATTATATTCGTATAAAATATTCTCCCGTTTTTCAGGGTCTAAAAAAAGCTTTCTTTAAACCAGCCGCATTCTTCAAGGGGGTATTATTACCATTGTGTGAGGTTTGTATCCCTTATTTTAAAAATGTAGCTAATAAACGCAGATGAAGGTATTTTCCCCGCTACAAACGTTTAACCTGACAATCTATCATTCTAATAGTCTGGCACTTGCACTCTACGTGAAGCGATCATTGTTGGCAGTGTTGTAACGAAGACTATATATACCAGTCCTCCATGCTAGCGCGGCAATGTTAAAGTTAGCTGAAATGGATTACTCTGGTAAATCACAAATATTATACGGTGACCGTCTTTCTGCTTAATCTCATGGCTGACACATGCATGAGCATTGTATAGTATTATTTGTACTTTTCTGACAGGCTTTTTTTTCTTGTTTAGGCGCGAATAGCATTTTACTACGGTTACTTTTAGATAAGAAGTATGCTTTACCATATCGTGTTATAGATGCAGTTGTATTTCATTTTCTAAGGTGTGTTAAACGCCATAAAATCGATTGGCGCATTTTTTACTCTCCAAACCTTTGCGATTCTATTTATAAAGGTTCAAATTTCTCATTTCTGCTTCATTGCGGAGGTTTCACTACACTTCCTGTCTTCGGGCGAAAGATAACTTCGAATGACCAAGTTGTTTTCCGCCTGGAGACGTTTATGAATTTGCACTGTTTAGCTAAACTAAGATATTTCAAATAGTGTTTTGTAACTACGCTTGAACAACACTTGGTAGCTACTTGAATGATCCTAAACGTTCATTCACAATTCCAGTCCTTCGTGACTATTCCACTCTGGTCAATAGACCTAAAGCTTTGCAGTAAATTAACAAGGTCTGCTCCTCAAGCTAATATTTATATTGTTATCGCTAGATATATGCAAGGCTATATATACTTGGTATGACTTTAAATGTAAGTGTTGTTGTTATTATATAGGTTTTTGAGCGACAAGAGAACACTGCCTGTTCTTTGGCATCAGTGCTTCTTAACGTTTGTACAAAGGTAAGGCAGAATTTAGCGGTTTTAGAGAGCCTTTTTCTTATAATGGCGTATTTTTTGCTATGACATTTACATATAAATGATAATTTTGAAAATTTGCTTTTTCAGATACAAGGAAGATATATCAAGTGAACAAAAAGATGCTTTACTTGAAGTTTGCCGAGTACACGCTCATGAACAGGTACCTTTAAATTCTTACGTATGTAATATTAACAACTCAATCTCCCTAGCCCTTGGAGATCGCCGGTGATCAAATATAGTGAACGTTTTCATCGCATTCACTTCTATGCCGGTGATGGCATGTTCCATTAAACTCTGCTTCGCCTCGTTGCTTCACTTGATGAAAATATTCTTACCATTGCATTCATTAAAATTCATTATTAACTAGTATACTGGAATATATACTATACTTTATTATATTCCAGATAACTCCAGAAATACGCCGGGAACTTCTGCATTCGTCATCAAGAGATATTGAACTCGCCAATCAAATGGAAGTAAATACATAATCGGGGACATTTGCCACAATTTCAACCGGTCTGACGGGAGGTTACCAGCTTACCTATAGCTGTTTTTCGAGGCGATCGACGATTTCGTCCATGTATGATTTTGAACACAGAAATGCAAATCAGCCCTTTGTGATAGTACAAAAAGGGCGTTATAATTTGGGTTTATGTGTTTGGGGGAGCTGTTGACGCATCAAAAACGCGCGTGGCCGAACTGCAAAATGTAGTGAACATGAACAGCTACTACAAAAGGAAATTTGTTGTTCGTAAAACATGTATAATAAAAGCAATTTAGAATTATATATTGGCTATTGAATTATCGCGAGGGAGAAGGCGAAGAAGGGGGAGGGGGGCATTTACCCTCCTCACTTTTGTCTTCCCCCTAGTTCCCCTCAAAACTTTTCATGTTACGTAAGTAGTTTATAGCTTTATGTCAATGTTCGCTAACCCCCCCCCCAAAACATTTCACTCTCAATTCCTCCCCCGCCATTTATTTTAACCGCTGGCACCGCCACTGTGTAATTACTGCTGCAGTGTAGAAACAATGAATCAATGATGTTAAAAAATACTTACTGCTAAGGTATAGAAACACGGATGTTAGATCAATGTTATAGATGTTAGATTATAAATGTCTCTGTTCACATACTGTAGTTCCTTTATCACGGACTATTTTGACTTTGTCTTCGTCCACGACGTTGAGAATATTTCAAATTCTGAATGCAGCGATCGACTAAGTTCAACTTCAAAACACTTCAACGATATCTCTTACAGTTCAAAGTTTCAACCGCTGGCTTATTTTGTTGTCGTATTTCCACTGATCAGAAAAAAATCCATTGTATTTGGCCTCCAGAGCCATTAACCAATAATTACACGACGTCTATACACACTGACCAAAGGATCGCATGCGCAGAAATGTGTTTTATATTGTTACAATTTTGTTTTTCTCTGTATAGTGAGTTTACTCAACTCAGTTTCGTCATATACTGTATAATATATATATATTGTGATATTGATAATATGTATGTAATATACCTCCTATTATGTTTTACGGTTTCGATAAGTGCTATGGAGAGTGGATTCACTTTTTTACTTGGAGCTAGGCAGAGAGAATGCTTTTTTGAAAATCTGAAAGCTAATATGTCTCTTGATTTGGAATATCAGGTATGATTGTGATCATGACAGGTGACAAATCAAAAAAGTTAAAAGAATATTTCCCGATATACTATTGAACAATAGACACAGCATTAATTGTTGTCTAGGTTTAAATACTTTGTTAAGTGAATTATAATCAAGTAATAGTGTTTTGACAGATTTTTTCATTACTTTTGTGATAAATATATTACTAGCTTAAATGATAGATTTGTATAGTTTATGTACATAAGAGTGGTAAGAAAATTAAGGAAAAACCGTTTCAATTTCTAAAATTAAAATTATATTAATTAAGCAATTATGTGATGTCTATTATTTTTACATAAACACTTCTCAATTTAAAAGAACACATTAGCCTTTTATAAGGACACAAAGTGTGTTCAAGGAATTGCTATATTTTAATTAATGCCTGCACTGTAGGAAAGAATTTCCCACGAATCATTTAAGCCAGGCTGGAGGAAAAATATAATAAGAGCATGTCTATTATTTAAATAAAAAAGCGACAGCAGGAGCGGCCTTGAATATGTTGGCAAAAACTGATGAAAACCATATTTCAAATCCATTTAACAAATTAACAATAAACTAACTACTCCAAGCTTTTCCCTAAAGTTACATACAAAGCGTGAAACAAAATTTTCAAGCATATTTTACAAACATAGTTTATCACTGCAAAAACAAAAACATTTGCATGTTTGTCTGATGTGAATTTTAAAATGTTCAAGACATTGTTAAGTACTTGGGCAACCTCGTACCTCGGCAAAAACCTGAAGTACAGGGTTGGTATTTAAGGAAAACACCATAAAAATGCAAAATATAAGTGACTTTTAAAGAATGAACTTTTGATGTACAGACTTAATCAAGTTCTTACTTTCACATCAACTTGAAATTGTGCATGCATGGTAGGGCCATAGGGTGCATGGAGATATGAAGGAATAGTTATGAAGGTATTTTACAAAAATATGAGTAAGAATAAGAAATAGTATGCAAGCTTTTGCAATACCAGTGTTAGCATTAATATAATCACCAAAGAAAAAGTAACAATAACAAATGATGATTTCAAATGCTAATTTCTCAAGTCAGTCATTCTTATTCCTAATTTCTCTACACTAGGTAATTGAAGGTGGAGACCTTGATATAAATTTTGAGGTATTTGACCCAAATGGCAAACGCTTGCTTTATGAAGAAAAGACTTCAGATGACTCTCATGAGCTGGTTATAACTACTCCTGGGATATACAGTTTCTGTCTAGATAATAGCTTCAGTAGCATAACAAGCAAATTGGTTTACCTGGACTTAGGAATTATAGATGAAAATGAGGAATTGGGGAATGGTGGTGCCATGGACACTGTTGTCAATGTTTACGTAAGTTTTCAACATGTTATTATATCATCTTATAACACCGAATATAGTTAGTTAGGGTTAGGGGGTTCAGGTGTGGTTGTCTAAACATGGTTTAACTCGATAATATTGGTGTTGCACCACTTGCCAACTTTAGTATATAATGGGATAATGTAATTCAAAAATTATGAATCAAAATGAGATGAGAATAGTTCAATATATTAATGTTGTTTTATAGTTAAATCATCAGACTGGATGAAGTTAGAATATAATGATCATAAAAATTGAAATATGAACTTTTGTCTTGTTTCCATTCAAACCTATCACAATGCTAACTTTGGATTTTTAATTTTTTTTAAATCATTAGTTGGTGTTGGTTTTTTGTATTTATTATATATTATGTAGTATTTTATTGGCAAGTCCATCATTTTTAAAAGCAATAATAACACATGTGCGATTATTGTGTGTGATCCACCGATCTTGGAAATATGGAATTTAATCAATTTATGTATCATGTTGAGAATGATATCTCACTCCTTTGCTGTGCTCACTTATTTGATATCATTCTTATCACCGAACTATTCTATATATATCACTGCTGTAGACATGTATCAATATAGGTATTTGATATTTCCAGGCATAAGTATACGGGTAGGGCAAAGGGTATTTTCAGGCATAAGTATTTATTGGGCAAAATTGTTATTATAATAATTCTTATTTATAATAAAGTGTTTTTGAAATGGTACTGTATTTAGGCAAATTTAAAAAAAAATGTTTAATTTTACCGGGATTGGCCTCAAGTACGAGTTCAACTTGAGAACATTGGCTTAATTTTAATTAGCAGTTATTATATAAATTTCAACAAGGGTCACAATAAACGTTATTTAAGGGTACATATTATATACATTAGCTAGAAGTTGCTGATTTAATTTTATGAGGCAAAAACAGGAACCATCTGGCCACGCAAATATTTATAAATATCAAACTACAGTATACAGATTACAAAACACACACAACAATACTTACAAATTATAAGCTTATAGCGATTAAATCCTTACAGTAATTGTTCGTAAAAGCATCCATTCAAAACCCCATTATTGTAGGTCATGGGATTTAAGTTTCGCTTTGCTTTTTTCGTCCCTTTTTTAAATGTTGTCTAAATTTTACTTTGGAAATTTACCGTAGAGAAACATTTTTTCCCGCCGTTTTCCTAAAGCATAGGTGACCCAACAGGTAGTGACAGTTATTCATTATAATAAAAAAGAATAGAAAAGATGCCGGATGACTTTTGAGATAAAAACAATTTTTACGAATTTAAGACAGTTAAGACAACACATTTTATATGTTCGTCATTTCACAGCAATTTTTAGTTCGGACTGCATGGCTTTCCTCGTACGACTTTTGTGGCGCATGTGGTCTTACTTTTGTCAATTATTAGTGACATGTCAAAATCAACATGTTCTCAGTTTTAAAGAAAAAATCAAAGGCTGCCCGAAAATAAGCGTAATAATACTGCTAAGATAGGCAACTTCCGCCAGAGATTACTTCATAATAATGTAAACAAATGCAAAAATTATCTATATACAGTAATAAAAACTTAGTTAAACTTAAACCCTTAAAAATAAGGTCTATTGAGTATTGACGATGTTTCTCAACTGAACTCAACTATCTCAATAAGTCGCCAAGTCTGGGCGCGCGCGGCGAGCCTTACGTTTTCATGGAAACACCACGTATTGTAGATACTGTACATGTAAAAAAATAATATACGGGATTTTGGAATAATTCAGACTCGACCTTATTACTGATATATCTGCTTAAAATCTCATATAGGCGAATATTGAAGGGATCCGAACAAAATTGGACAAAGCAAGCTCTTACCAGGGCGCGTTGCGGGCAAAGGAGGCAAGACAACGTTACTTTTTGGAGAGCAATAATTCGCGTGTAATGTGGGTATCTTGTATGGCAAGTATAATAATGATTAGTGTTGGATTAGTCCAGGTATATTTCGTTCGACATTTGTTCGATCAAAGACAAAAAACTAGAGTATAATATTATAGTGATAATTGCTAATTTTCTTTCAAATAGATTATATAGGGTATTAGTACAGTATTATACATAAATATTTTCAGTTACAAATGAAATCTTTAAGGCAAAGTAGTCCTACTAGTTTGAGAATAACACTACTTTGTCGTGATTTAACTTTCTTATCTATATACTATGCATGTTTCTAACCTTTGGCCATATTGCTAAGGGGGTGGGATTTCGTTTGAATTTTGTTTCGTTTTCTAAACATTTCAAAAAGTTTCGAAGTATATTTTTCAACAATTAAGATATGAAAACTCTGCAATTATCCGCAATTTCATGATGAATAATACATCTCCTGATATAGCACGATTCCCCTGTGCCGATATTGGCAATAAAGTATATTTTCACAGGCGTGTGTATACTATATTGCAGTAAACTGTCAAAATAGGATTCTTTAAATGCCAAATTTAGATGGTTATTGTAATCAGTAATAATTTCATTTCGTTGTGAGTACGTGCAAGGGTGGCTCAGAGATAATAATAGGGTAACAAGGAGGAATTTCGTTTTAGACCAATCAGAAAATTGGTTTACATTTTAGTAACCCAATCAGAATGAATAAATATTGGCTACTTCTGGTAAAAAGGTACATTGTATGTTTACCATTTTACACGAAGTATTAAAAATTGAGGCTTCATGGTTGGCTTAGCCTGAAAAAGATAAACAAATTAGTTTAAAATTAGTCTACTGGGGCCCGTTGTTCAAAGCTGGGTTAGCGCTAACCCTATATGTTAAATTTTATTCCGCTGTTTTGGTTTATATGCTTCTGCACCGCCGTTTGTTTCAAGACTTTACAAAATAAGACTTTGATTGATCCACAAATTATTTATCAAAAAACATGTTCAACTTCATAAACGAGCGATTAAAAAATTGATGTAAAAATTTGAGTTACCCCTGGGTTAAGCTAACCGGCTTTTGAACAACCGGCCCCAGATTAGTTTAAAACGAATTCAAATTCCTCCATGTTAATGAACTTAAAGTCCGCTTTATAACCTACCACACCGTTTATTGCACGTGATATATCATCGTCGATTTAACTGGCTGCATGCAACGCATAATTATTTAGTGTTCAAAGTACAAATATATGTGCAACTAACTTTGGTTGTTATATTGAACAATTCGTTTTAAGATGCTGATAGATGATGTTGCGGGTCATTTATAAACTGTATATATACCAAATCAATTACCTCATATGTCAGTGAAAGCATACGTTTTTACTGTTGCATCTGAAATATTCATATATAGTTATAGTTGTCCACGTGCTTTTTAATTGTGGATAAATGTTTAGATTCTTAATTTTATTTTTAGAGAGAGTATTATCTTAATTTTTTACTTTAGGTATATATTTTTGTAACTTTATAAATATAGAGTATTTTAGTACATAAGTTTTTATTATATTATATTATATTTCTATAAATTAAATATTTCATTATTCTTTTCGTTTTAATAAGTTTTTATCAGTAATTATTTCCTACTACGGCTGAATCATGCTGCAATCATGCATGGAGGATCGATCACCTTGGTCATGGCGGTCATCATAACTCTGCATATTCTAAACCATACATGGTGATATTTACCAAACAGTAAAAAATGGTTTTCGCAAAGTGACAAAGAATATATATAACATGAGGCTGACATTAACATATAGTTTTATTATAAATCCCTTCTTTACATTACAAATGGCCAAAACTGACAGCGACAGCGATCCGTAAACGCAGCAATCTTCGGTTTTCCATCACAAACACATCGGGTATCGCCTTTCCCGCAGAGATATGGAAGATTACGTACCGGCTCGCATACTGAACTCGTTGCACGATTCGGTACGTCTATGATTCGAACTCCCTCCACAAAATTAGGAGGCTTACATTGACGAATACTACACATACGTTGACCTATGGGTAACAAGGGTCCCGTTCTACAGTTTATCCGGCAATGTGCGTATTTAGGGTCAATAAGGTCACCTTTTTGGCAGGTTTTTGGATTCCTTGGGTCGCAGTCTGTTCCGTCCCGAATTTTGCAGTTCCTAAGTTGGTTTATAGCTTGTAGGACAGCTCTTGCAATTTCCATATATACGTCGACCTTACTGTAACGTTTTAGACATTTGCGGAAATTGGTATTGCAGTGACAAGGTCTATGACTCATTATGTTACCATGGTGACCGCTGATGTCACCATTCCCGCATTTAAGCTGTCGTAAGCAGCAAGCGTCGACGTAGTTTAAGACAGCTTTTCCTTTTTTTACCAAATCACCTTTGAAAGTACAGTAGTTCGTGCTTCGTGATACAAACTTGATTTCTTCAACGTTTATACACGCATAGCCCTCGTCCTGTTTGCTGCCCTGTAAGTGTAAAGATACGTCACACTAAACTGAGGCGAGATATTTGCTGCAGCCAGCAATTCAATCTCTTTTAAATGTTGCACATCTGTCACCCCATCTAAAAATATTCCTAAATTTGTAAAGACCCTATTTAAAAATAACCTTAAGTATTGATACCCCATCCAAAATTTTAAATTTTAAAACCTCATCCACAAAAATAGAAAACAGTATTGGATGTTTAGACTATATTCATCACATAAAACACTACTTTTAGTAAACCTGGGAATCATGATATATTTTCATCTTTTACACCAACTCCAAATATACACCAGCTCATGATTATTGTACAGGGACAATTCTATTATTAAATCATTTGATAACCTAGCAGTTTATATTTGTTATTAAATTTTGAAGTCTGCCTTTGTCAGAAAGCGAAAAGTATTCATACCCTATCCTAAAACAATATAATTCGTCTCGTATACCCCACGCCAATCAGCTCCATACTCCAGGGGCCAATTGTATAAAAGACTATAGTTAACTTTTAACAGTAGTTAAGGATAGAATTGGCCAATCAGAGTCGTGTATTTCTAAGTTAATTATACAGGATTTAACTATGCAAAATGTAGCTAAAGAGTTTTATACAACCAGCCTCAGCCCAGTTATTTTTCACCTCTGAGTTTTTTATCACTCCCTAACCCCATTTTCACTGCCCCACCGTCTGTGCACCACCTACATGGTCATTCCTATTTATTTATTTGTTGCATTTGGAACTAAAATCGAGCTCCAGTTTCGCTCGTGCGATTTCCCAAAATAGGAATAGGTTTTATTTACCTCCATGTGCCAGGCTGACAGTTCATCATGCAGTTCAACACATTCCATGCCATCGTCAAGACAAACCGAGGGGTTTACTGTGCATTGATTTATTCCGAGTGAGCACTTCTCCTTACTCGACGGAGGGCATTTACAGGACACCACGTTATTTTTCGCTGTACACGCAGCTTGCTTGTCGCTGCAGACGTTCGGTACCTCACAATAATCAATAAAATACTGACATCTAGAAAATGAAGGAGTAGATTACTTGACATGAAGTATGTTTACATCTGTGATGCTGACTGTATCGAAAGACTTGTTAAACTTCGAGTTGAAGTGATTCTTATAGTTTCTTAATTGCAGTTAGAATACACAGGTGGTATAAAGAAACCGGCACCCTTTCAATTCCAAATTATATTGGCTATAATGCCAGCCTCGTACCCAGGCGCTCTAGTAGAAAACATATGACGTTGGACTCAGTAACTTCTCAGCCACCATATCCAGGTAAGCTGAGAAAAAACAAGCGCGCGTGGGTGCACGCTTTTATATCGCTTTTATATATATATATATATATATATATATATATATATATATATATATATATATATATATATATCAACGTCCTGGATGCATCCGTGCATGGTTTTTTCTCGCGGCGAAGCTTCCTTCGTCAAAACCACCCTAAGCATCCCCGCGCGCTCCCTTTTTTTCCAGCAGACCTCTTTATAATAGCTGAATGCAACGTTATGTTTTTTACTAAAGCGCCTTGGTATACGAGGCTGCTATAGTGTGTTGTAGTAATTTCACAGTCATGTCACAGTCATTTAAAACACAACTCACTGGTTCTTATAGGAAATTAATATTTTCTAAATCTTATTATTTATATTTTTTTCCAAATTATAATGTCATGAGTTCCCATTTATGCCCCTGTGCTAATCTTACCCAGCCATTACTAAAGTAGCTTCTCTGAAATTACTATGTTACAACTAATTCAAATTTCAAGGTTCAGATTTCCTATACACCGTTTGTAGGGTGAACTTTAAATCGTTGTAATGCAGTTTTTAATGATAAGAATTTTTGTCACAACTTACCGGCAATGACTTTTCGCCAAATTTTTCACTCCGTCCGGTGCATCGCAAACGCATCTTGTTCCTTTTTCACCACAGATAAACTGCCCTTTCCCAGTGCGCTCTACCGGCATGCATGTTAGGCCTTCAACATCCATCGCCACAACTCGCGTATTCAGTGCACGACGATGCACTACCTCAGGCTGACAGCGGCGTAAAGAGCTTTCTTTGTATTCTGAGGTCAGGGAGAAGCGAAGATTCGACGGAGAGCGTAGTTCACAGTCTAGGAATAAAAATTAAGCCATCTGTTTTGGATTGAACAGGGAACGCGATTTTTAAAACCGAAGATCTGCTCTAGCTGGTTTAAGGGAGCCTTCGAAAACAAGCTATCAAACAAAGTTTTAACCGCCCTAAAATTGCATGTCATCAATGCAATATGAATATTATAGCATATAATAGTATTTTATCTCTGACACCTATAAATGGCACTGGGCTGACCACTATGCATGGTTGGTGACCTTTTTTTGGCATGTTGCTTTCTACATAAAACTGATCTTGTGCACATAGAAAAATCTGATAGAATAACTTTCAGCATCGCTTTAGGAAATATACCCTGACGCTTTTTTGAAGCGTCAAGCGTATGCGATATAGTCTTGGTGTTGTGAACATGTCTAATGGCTGATTACACTGATGTTATAGAATATTTCTATGACTATATGTGTGTGTAGTGAACAATGATCGAAATTAATTACAGAAATAAAGACAAATGTACATCAGTGAAGTAGACGACTATACTTTAACGTCGAAAGTAACACGACAGTCTATATAAACTGGCATGCAAGCCTGTACAGTCGATTGCATATATATGAAGCTAAAGATGTCTTTTGGACGCTTTAATTCATTCGATTACATTGCAAACAAAATGAGAGCTTAGATCTGCATGGTTTCCATTTAGTCGTACTGTCGTGAACAAGTCATTTTCACGGTTGCAAATTTGTCTGTGTTCAAATCGGTAATTTTTGGCTATCCTTGAGATGTTTACGATACTATATAGCGACTATATGGGAACTTGCATGGCATAAATATTAGCCTATAAATATCGGTATAACTATTAGTGCATGCAGGGAGAAACTAAGTACATATTTGTATAGCTACTACTGATTTTTTAATAGCAAAATAGTAATTTTAAACCAATTTTTTACCGAGCATTTGAAGAGATAATATGATAAAAAGCGGGAAACAAAAGAACATTTAAAAAAAGAAAGGTTAGCGGACCTGCAATAGTGGGTTTGATAAGATCCCCCATGCGACAATCATTCTTCTTAAATGGATCACAATTTGATTTCAGTGGCAATATGAAACGGTTATTAGCCGCTAGACACTGTAATTGAGATGGATTTTCCACACACGAGATGGAAAAAACGGATAAAAAACGATGAAGTAAAACTAATATAAATAATTGTTTCATCTTCGACATTTTGAGAGCATTAATTATAACGTCAGTAATTATGCATTTGAGTATAAGCGCGTGCCTGCTCGCGCTTTTCCGCAAAAAGACTGTTGCTTAGCATTTATTAGCTACTCGTGTCTTAATTTTAGATTATATATAGAGGGATTTTTTTTCCTTGGTATAAAGGCCATTAATTTCATCAGGTTTTTGAACTGGCATTCAAAGCTTGTATTGGCAATATTGCACTGATGAAGGCCTCGCGTTAACGGACCGAAAGCTTTGCAGTATTAAATACTTAGGTGGTGTACCTAATAAAAGTGACAGTCTGTAGTCAACTCCATCATCTAAAATTTGAAAAGCCGAAACTCATACGTCAAATACTCAATATAACGACCATAGAATGCATTATTTTTCAAACATATATAATGTTACTAATCTCGCTAATAATGATTACATACAAGAATTTTTTTCAAGAGACATTGCTATTTTTTTCTTAGTCAAACTGTCGAGAAAACATATCGAATGATCCTCATCTACCATAATAAAGCTATTCTATAAAACTGGTTTGTAAATAGTGTTAAGAAACGTCGAACCAAACTCACTATCGGTTTCAATATTATAAATGCCGTGAAAACAGTTATTATATCTTTACTAGAAGGACGGAAGTAGTGCATGACAGTAAGTGGGTTTTAATCTACATGCAGTCATCTCTAACTGAGCTATTTTTTTGAAGCCATTTTCTTCATAAGTGCTACGGCCAACACAGTATGTCCAATTTGCCTGAATTTCCCTTTTATGGCAATTGTTTCGTCTTCTTTTAGACCAACAGATTCAATGTAGCTGAACGCTCTATGTCTACTGTATTCAGTTTCTGCTGTACTTGGAACCGCAACCCTCGTCGATCGACCGTATTCTGGGTTATCCATGCACGATATTGTCCTAGCTCTTGCCCGCCTGCTTTTGACTTCTTCTAGGTCGCATACCGTTTGTGATCGGTTCCGTGCCCTGGGCACAAGGCATACGTCGTTATTGGGAAAAGCACGAAAAACGGCCGAAGAGTTTCTCACTCTATTGTTCGTCCAACTTGTAATTCCATTATTACCATAATTGGAATCATCTATCGTCTTTCTTGCGTCGTCGACTGGAACGCAAACGCTTCCTTGGAGATTCGCAAGGGTAGGAAGCTTTGTAATTCCATGATGGTGATCCGAAGTAGTCCTCGTGAAAAGAATTCCATCAGAAGAATAATCCTCACTTGCCATTCCTGTTTGGGTTTTTGGTGAATGATGAATTTCACATTGCTCTTTCCCTTCTTTCGCCCCTCTAACGCACTCGAAGTTAGTTAATAAGCTTTTCTTATACAGATCTTCGTTTGGACTCGCATTCCTGTCCCTGCTTATCATTCTCGTTGGTGTTTTTGATGGACGATACATTTGGCATTGTTGATTTTCCTGTGTTGCGCTTTCCCTAATTTCATCCAGTTTCTGCACAGAGAAATTCGGAAGGGAACAAGACTTAACGTAAGGAGGCCTTCTTGTAAAAAGCTTCGTATTTTTTGAGTTGGGCGTTGACTGAGTTCTAATTTCTCTATCTTTGAGATTTTGCGAGTCATCGTTTTTGTCTAATGCGTTGCTTTTTTCCATTGATCCCATTTTTTGGGAATCATTTTCATCGTGGTCATGGACATGCTCTGAGTAGGAATCGCTATGAATTGTATATGTTCTGCTTTCTTGGCGAGTGTGAAATTCAGGTTTTTGAGAATATTCGCTTAAGTGGTGCTGTATTTTAGAGGATACCCCTGTAAAAATAAAAGAAATAGGCACCATGGTTTGAAATATATAAATAACATGGCGATCGATCACGATGCATTAGTGAACTCTATATGAACTGGAACGATTACTCGGCCGCCATCTTTGAAGCCAATTTGAAGCCGAAATGGGTACCAGTGCCAATCCCTTTCTATTGTTTTTGACTTCACGGTCGACGATCGCACCGACAAAAACGTCTTCAAATTAAGGGACTGGTTCAGGTACCTATTTCGGCTTCAAATTGACTTCAGAGATGGCGGACAAATAACCATCAGAGTTGCCAGATTACTGAATAAATAGCCAAATATTATTACCATAATCGTTATTTTCTTTGTTTCAAACAAAGAAATCAAAGGGCCGACTATAACAATGTTTGGCTTCTTTTTTCAGTTATCTGGCAACCCTGATAAGCATTAATTATCGTTCCAGGGTTTATAGACTTCACCGCGATGCATATAGTGACCAACAACGCGCGCTCGTATTTTTATCCCGGCTAAGCTTTCTGTCCTGATACTGATGAATGTCACAAGCCGGTTATTCGCATGAAAAACTTGATAATATATCCTACACGACGAGTACTTGTAGTAACGTTCGATGATTTATTTGAGTTATTCACCATGCAAAATCGCAAGAATATTATGTTGTTGAAGAATATAATGTAAAAGAATAAAACAAATTAAACGCCGAAACCTAATGCATGTGCTCTATATGTTCATGAGTGGTGTAATATCAACTGTTCATGAGTGGTGTAATAATGAACTTGTTCAAACCTTGTGACGAGACATTACTTTTCTTAATAAGCGACTTTTCTTGGTGATCATATTTATGCACTTCTTCATCTTCGTGCTCTTCTTTTTTCCCGAATGTAATTCCATCTTCAGTCATTTTTTGCTCCCACGCTTTCTTGGATGAATTTTCTTTTTTTCCCTTTCTAGATTCTTTTAGCAACGTTCCGTTAATTTGCTGGATAGCTCGTCTAACTTTAATAATTTGAGACAATTCCTTCTCGACCACTTTCTTCTGTTTTTCATAACTTTTCAATTCTTTTTGTAAGGTGACGTGGTGCATGTAATTTCGATGTGTCAGTACTTTATGTAAATGAGCATTTGTTTCTGATTTAGCCATTTGTATTCCTTGCACCAGGCTGCCGCAGACTTTCACACGTAATTTATAACTGAAAGAAGTTAAAGTTCTATTATTTATATAATTATGTATCAATTGAGTAACATTTTTATAAAATTTAGAAACGTTAGATACTTTCTGAAAATTTATCTTATATTTATTTAGTTTGTTCGTTGATTTGGCTGTGTATATATATAAAGTTATGGGGCTGATTATAGAGTATCTACTTTCAGTACTGAGGATTTTTGTGGCAATATAGTCAAATGTACAATGTGAGCGGTAATAGAATGATAATAATAATAATAGTTTCAAATCAATTTAGCATTAGGGTAAATCGATTATGATTTTTGGAACTTCACTCGATGTAGGTAAATTCTAGAGGTTTAAAGGGTCTTAATTTCGAGTGGAATTATTACACATCAATTAAATTCAAGCCAGGAACAGTTGATGAAAAATGAGTCAACTACAGGTCCTCCGGCAGGAATCGAACCTATGCTTTTGCGATGCCGGTGCAATGCTCATGCTCAGTGACAGTGGCAAAACATAACACCGGCATCGCAAAAGCGTAGGCTCGATTCCTGCCGGAGGACCTATATAGTCGACTCATTCTTCATCAACTGTTCCTGGCTTGGATTTGAAGTGGGCATGTGTAATTTCACTCGAAATTAAGACCCTTTAAACCTCTTCAATTTAGCATGATAGCAATTATACATGCAGCCTTGCAAAAATATTACAATGGCAATGCAAACTTTTATTGAAAACATGCATGGCATAAGCTTTCTCACGAGACAACTGATATTGTAAAAGTGTTTAAAACTATCATTATTCTTTGCAATTTGACTATTGCCACTGACAAAAGTAATTGAAACACCTTTATGTATACTGATATATATATTATTATGTTTTGTATATGTCTACAGGAATTGTCTAAGCCTGTCCGAAAAAGTGCTACTAAGATTTTGAATCTCAATCTTTGCATGCAGATCAATGGCCTACATCTTCCGATATGCGAACTTAAAAGGTTTTATGATTCAGACAAAAAATCAGGATAAAAATCTAATCACGGTCATCATACATTTCTTCGAAATTATCCATAAACTATATCTATTTGTGTTGTACTGATATATATGTCATGATATATATATATATATACTTACTTAGTTACAGCGGCACTTTACAAGAAGCTTCAAAAACGTTAAAAATGGTGTCCATGTCAACGTATAATGACCAAATATATTCACCATAATCATTTATATAGTTGTGTAAAATTCTGATATATGCATGTTATAGTGTATGCATTGCATTAACACATAAACCCATATGCTGGACAGGTAATTTAACTGTGCAGTTATTTGTAGCTTGGCAACAGTTAAATGGTCATAGAACAAGAGTGATAACAAGCCTATAGAAACTCTATGCAAATGCTAAGCGATTAAAAACCGATTTGTTGTGTTGATGTCGCTAGATAAAGGAGACTTTATTGCCTTTCATGTTATTTTAACTCTCCGTTATTGATCCTTTTATTGATCCACAATCCCTTGTCAAAGTCGGAATGGCAGATGGTTTCAGCATATCGGATTATCACCAGTCATCTATCCCTTACATTCGTATCACTTCTATATGAACCAACCAATCACGACTCAAAACCTGTCGGTCAGGGAACTCGTTTAGGATCAAAGATGTCGCTCCAAATGACATTATTTTTTGTTTTCAACTATTGACTTGAAAATGCACTATCCGATATTCAAACTTGTGTCTAATATATACGTACTTAAAAAATATATGAAAATGTACAAACTCTTTGAAGCGCCCTGTATAGATACCATCGGCACCCCCCCCCCCCCTCATCTCCCTCCCCATACAACTGGCAAAATGCTTTGAAATTCAACCGAGAATTTTAAATTGTATTATTTAGTTTGTAGTTACATCTATGTATCTGCATGTGAGCAAAATTATCGCGAAAAAGGCTCTGATGACACTCCTGCAAAAATGCTCATTTCCTAAGAGCTCATTTAATAGAACAATTAAATTAAATTTTTAAACGTTCTTGCTCGACGGCGCCTTGGTGGCGCTTCGTGAGCCTGGACCCCCCAATCACAAGTACGTTGATGTTGACCGACGTAACCAAATTCGGCATTTTTTCCCTGTAATTGACAGCTTTATAGAAATAAGACTTTTCCTATCAAAAAACGTATATACATATATATATATACTATACACCCACCAGTTATGTATTGTGCGCCCTTAAGTTCAAATATACTGATGTTTAGTAATCTTTAAAAATAGCATAACATGCACGGATCAAATGTAATGATATTCTTGTAATCTTGCAAGGCAATTTTGCAATTATAAATTATTATAGAAAATGTGGCGCCTTCACAAATACTTTGAAGTGATCAAATTGGTCTGATTATTTGAAATGATCAAATGCGTTCTGTCTTTGAAAACTCGATCGGTTTTCTAATTGCGATCTGTACGACCACAAAGTGCGTCACGAATCATATAACGCCGTTTTCCCGCCCTCTCTTCGACGCCCAGGTGTGGCCACCTGGTGCTCGTTAATTTAGACCGTATATTTTCATATCTTTTCTTCAGGGAGGGTTTTTTGTGCGGCGTTTATATACACTTTATAAAATAATCTGCGACGTCAATTGTCGGCATAGTCATATGTTTATATATCGTTTTGTAGTTTGCTAATTTACAACAATGAATACCAATTTTCAAACATAAAATTTTTATACTGACTGCAAACATCTTGTAAACCTAAAATATGCATGAGCTATAGTGCTGAAAATCGATGGCACGAAATTCACATAATTCCAAGTGCATGGTTCTTCGGCGCATGTTTTTTCCTATACCTCATTAAATTCTATGCTTGCAAAAGTTAGTGTTTTTTTTCAGAGTATATTCTCCCTTTTAATTCAAAAAAATTGTATCAGACAAACGTTCTGCTGTCTTCCTTGCATTACAACTGAACTGATGCGCTGTAATGATCCAAATTATGATTGGTAAAATAAAAACTCGATTGGTAAAGTTGTCTAAATAACCTAAACAATCTCAACAACGTAAAGAATGCAAAAGATTTTTAGAATACACGATGTTTATGTTGTTTCCCAGTTAATTTTTTTTCATCAAAATTTTACACTATAGATGCACTTTTTACACTATTTACATGCACCTCAAGTGTATCAAGGACCTTTAAAAACCCACAAAACTATATAATTTATGTAATTTCCTTGAAAAAACCGAGTGTTTATATACATTTATAGTTATGATCAAACCATAAGCATGCTTTGTTTACAAAAAAGGCGTATTTATACATGGTATAATCCGTCAATATCTTAAATACCTGATAAGTTCAAAAAAGAAATTTGGTTTTCTTCCTGTTAGTACGTCTATATGCGATTATTATAGGAAAGATTTTTGTGGTTTCTTGAACAGAGGAGCTAGCGATCGCATGTGTGGTAATATAATGATGCCTTTTACTATCAATTGTTATGAATAAATAACATGGTTTTGTCGCGTTTTCCTCTCATTAACTTTTTAAATGTTTTTTTCCCTTTGGCACGGAGTGTCTTGGCTGTTTAGACACCACAAATTCGACCATTTCATGTTTTATCTTTTCAACTGACGAGTTCAATAAGGAAAGGTTTCTTAATTGTTCCTTCCCGTGACTGTGTTTGAATGCACATTCACCTCTCAATACCTCACAAGCTTAACTAAGCATGGTTACAATCGTTTATCTTGAAACAAAGGCCACATGCACATGGTAACTTGGATGAAAGTGAACACTTCATGGAGAATTCATCATGTTTACTCCGATGCATCAGAGATTACTGCGAGAAACAATGCATTTTAGTTTTCTACGTCAATTTGATCATTCCGTTTTTCCGTGAGCCTCTCATGCCAACCTTGTACCAAGGCTTTTTCCTCGTAGAAAAAAGCCTGGGTACGAGGTTTCCTGTCATGCACGCAAGTCATGCCATGTAATCTCTGGCGCCTTATACTAACATAAGAGCAGATCCGTACTCAGTCTTTTAGTCACATTCCCGTTTGCCAAAGTGATACGATATTTAATTGCAAAAACAGTCATATAACGGTTTGTATGTAGTCAGAAATTATATTAATACATGCAGACAAAGCCTATATGAATATGAATAATGAAAATGACTTCATAATAAAGGCAATGTTTTATCTTGTCGAGTTGTTCGCTTTCTTCAATAATTGCCATGTAATATATTCTCCGATACACCGCATGAGACAGATGCTAGCTTTATTTCCTTGAAAATGTCTACCAACATGAAACAATATTAATGATCCTGCCTGATCCCCGTACATGCATTGCATGAATAAAGCGTGGGACGGCTGGCGCAGCATGCATGATGTTCTCCACTCATTTTAACAAATTACCAGCATATGCAGGTAATAGCCGATAAATTATGAAAACCAGTTAATATTTCACATGTTATGACTTCATAATGTCTTTAATGTTATCCTTACGGCGCCAGTCGTCATTAATTAATTATTCAAGATATTCTTTACACTCAGCAAAAACGAATTTGTGATATTGGTCGCTTTTGCAAAATTCATTTAATTCTCACCTTTTGTGAGGTTTCTTTCCATAGCGACTGCCTCGGTTCGCCGCTTGTCGCTACTTGCTTTGGCTCATAGACTCGCGTGAAAAAAGGCACTAAATCGAGCTAACTCACTAATTAAAAAATATTCGTGACTTAAATAAGCTCGATTAACATGCAGATCTGGCCAGGCTTTTATAAACAGCGGTGATAAAAAGCCCTGAATCACATAAGGCACTTTTAAAATTGTCTGATCCATCAAACATGTCCGGCATAGATCAAAATTAATATCAGTTCGAAAGGAAGTCGAAAAAACTGGATCGATCCCTTGTCGATGTAGAGACAGAATATCGGGTGTGGCCTTTTGTCACCTGATCGCGCAGTTTCGGCTTAAAATTATTAGCTTTAAAGATGGCGACCGGGATATCGTTCAAGTTCACATGGAGTTCGCTGCACCACTCGGATCATAGTATTTACTTACTTCGGTAGCACAATGTCATCTCACGCTTCGCGCGAATTCGGCTAAGCCGGATCATTTAGGGGCTGTTTACATGAGCCCGGCTACCCGAAATTCAACGAAGCGTGAGAGGACTTTGAGGTATTGAAACTGAGTCATTATGACACCAAACAAGCACATGCTATTGTTACGGTGATTATACGACTACCAGGATCATGTTATCTGCTCATTTCAATATCTCAAAATCATCTAACGCTTCGCTGAATCTCGGGTACCGGGCTCATGTAAACAGCCCCTTAAACAAGCCGATCACAAGCAAGCCAGATTTCTTTGACAAGGGCCCATGTATAGTTGCTATGCGCATTACCATTTCTTCTGTAACATTCCTTTTCCTCCACTTTCCAGTACTATCATTTAGTTCCATGATAAACTTTATTTTGCCCAGATTTTAAATATTTTTTTCTTGGAATGTTTCTGAATGAAAACAGTAGCCTGTATCTATCTCATTCGTTGACCAAGTACTTAAAGGTTGACCATTTATCTTTCTAACGCGTTGGGTTTTACTTGAAGTGATAGTAATAATGTATATGACTGAGGTGTATGAATTAATATTGTGATGTTGCTTCTTTTAAATACCAACCGAGCAAGCTGAAAAACCACCGTGGGTTACGTTAGGTTACTTTTTAACATTTCGGAAGGTTTAGTAAATATTATTCAAATGGTCGAGATTTCAAGGCCAAATTGATAGCAAATACCTATATCGTTGTCCATTTCAAAAACGAGAAGTCGTCAAGCAATTTCAGAAATGGTTCATTTCATCGACACGTATTAACTACAGGTTTCATTGAACGACGTTTCAAATAGTTGCAGATTTCATTCACAAACACCATCGGTCACGTTTTCAGGTGATAGAACGTGATGTTCTCTGCATGCATCGAATTCATTACAGTAATTACCAGCAGAAAAAAATTTGTAGCTGTTATTAAACGGTATTTTTTACACAGTTCTGATCATTTTTTCCTATTCAAACAACGCAAAAAAATAGATTTAAGATAGGAAAATTCACGACCTTCGAAATCATGAATGAAATAGTTTTAGTTGGCGAAAAAAGTCACGCATCTTCTAAAAATGATAGGTTCCAAATGATATTCTCTTGTGCGCTCATTTTCGGGCCACTATTGCTACACTCTTGTTCGCATGCAAGAAAAAAAGGAATGAGAAGTATAGCATTAATTTTCAAGAACATCACGTAGCTATATAAAAGATGGTTTGCGTTTTCTTATCCGATGCACTACAGTATGGAAAATTGATAGTCAATTGCCAAATTTGGCATATAGTAGCTACAGTTGTGGTGACATAATAATTTTAATGATCATAAGATAACAACTTTATTAATACAAAAAATGCTTCAGCTCACGTACATCTCACCGTGAAGGAGTTTTTTCGAAAACCTACGAGTGTTAACGGATAATAAAATCAAGCAAGTCGTAGTAAAAGACTTCGCACACTCTATACAACTCTTTGTATAATTGGGTATAGCTGCATGTATAAAGAGTAACATATTGATGAGATTGTTCGTATGTAAGCTACAAAACTTATTCTCATCAACATTATGATCTCACGCATGCAATCGGTTCATGAACTCTGTAGTTCATACACTCCGGCCCATGAACCCCGCGGCTACAGATTTGACTGGCTCGATCAAGTGGAAGCGATATTTTTTCTTCATGTTTGTATATGCATAAACTGATAATATCACTTCACATTTCATAAATTGTCTTTCAGTGATACTTATAAAGGCATGTAATGTAACATCGCCGTTGTATATATAAATATAGCGCTCGTTTTTACTCGGTTTGGTTTTTTGAGTCGCAAGTTGGTTGCATTTAACGATTTCGAGTTAAAACATTCTTACTGCATGCACGCATATATAGCTACACAAATATATTGATATTGGATTTGCCATCTATATAGCTTGCATGTAAATCAGCAAATACGTTTAACAATTGGACATCAAATCCGTTCAATTTTTGTAGTTTGACTACGTCAAAGATTCATCGCTTCATTTTTAGTATATGTTTATGATTCAACGATACGGCCAGTTATAACGGACTGTCAGCGTGTTATTTAATACCTCAAGATGAAAATCCTCATTGAAAAATTTTGCCGGTAATATTGGCATATGTTGGTGAAGACGTGTCAATATACAGTTAACTATTGTCGACATATACTTAAGACGAAACGATAGGCTACCCGTGGCCTTGATATGTGAAATTTATTAATATTTTGAGTGACAGTTGCTGTAGCAACTCAATTTGCCCTATTCGCTTGATATGACAAGTAAACGCGCTCAGCCAATGAGATTCGAGGTCCAGCAGGGACCAATTCGTACATCGAACAAAAAATAAAATAGGCTGAATTTAAAGGATCATCCGTTTGTCAATAAAATTATCCCGTAAGCTAACAGTAAATACTCTCGTTAACCTCAGAAATTGTTCGCTGGAACTTCGAAGCTTCATTTGTCCGGGAGAAATATTAGCACTTGGCAATAAGACGCAACTTCTCTCTTTCGTCTAATTGTCTGTTCAATTAACAGCGAGCCTTGACAAAGCTTAAGACGCGGTCTTATTATTTGGGACAGGTGATAACATCGTCCGCATTAACATAAAAAGTACGACTTCAAAAAGCTAAACGCGTACACAAGGAGCTCGAAGTTATTCGAACGGCAAAATGGCCGTATTTTATAAATCTAGGGCGCGATTAAAGGGACGTTTAACCGCGCAATAAATGCTACGGTCGAGGAGTATTTTATGGTCTTCGATGGCTAATCTCTTGAAGATATGAAGCTTTCGGGAAGCACGAAAAAATTATTAATAAGGATTGTACTATTTCTTCTCTATCTTCTCGTCGGAGCAGGGATATTTATCGCCATAGAAAGCGGTCCCGAAGAGACGGAGCAGAACAAGGCAAGGAAATTTATTGAGAAAGTGAATAACCTGACAAATGCTACTACCAGATATTTCAATTCTTCAGAGGACGTGAAGCGGTTCTTATCTGACTTCAAACATGCGTTACGAAACGGGTACGACATTGATAAGAACGAAATAACCGGCCCGAAGTGGACCTACATGAATTCATTTTATTTTGTTGGGAATATAGTCACGACAATAGGTAGGTTTGATCCTGGTGCCAGTGGTATGTCCAAAAAATATATATATGTTCTCTCGTCTATATAGAGTTGCTATTAACGCGCTCGTAGGGTTATATAATATTATCATCCGAAATTCTCGTATGTGCTATTTACATGGCAACGGCATGTGATGACATGAAACACTAATGTTTTTCCGCTATGTACATGCTCTTAGTAGTTCACCGACTTTCACAATTCACATACAACGGATATTCAACGGACTAAAATGTTGTGGGGCCATTTCGTTAGTATATACAGAGAACGGCTTACTTCATAAACGCCTGTCGTATTTCGGCAGTTATTATATAAGATATCACTAAGGCTTGCCATGCAGGCAATATGTGTGCAGCTGTTTTGCAACTGGTTTGGATAATTCGGTTGTTTTCGTCCTAAAAAGAGCACAGGACGCTACAATAAAAACAACAAAATAAGGAAACGGCGAAATTTTACCTCGCCCGCGCTACATCCCGGCTAAGTTTGTAATTTTTGTACAATACACTTTAAAATGAGCCAAAATGACACAGTGTCTATTAAATGACATTTTCAGTTTTGAATAATGACTATCGTATTTAAAAGAAATCTTTTAAAATGTACTTTCATTGGGAGTCTAAAAATCGAAATTTGAGAATACAAATAGTATGCTAAACAGTCTTCGCCGTTTACTTATTGTGTAGCTAGCTGTAATTACATATATATATACAGTCAAAATTTCAAAAGCGACTTGGCTAAGGGATGCTATTCCACTCAAAGACAAAGGATATACTATATTTAAAACAATGTATACCAATATACGACAATATACGGGTCGAATTAACCCGAATTTCCGTTCTAAATATCACACTCCAGTAATTTAAACATTATATACGTGGCCGTGGGTAGAATCTACGATCAACTAAATTCATGTTTACTCAGTTAAAATTTTTGTCTCGTTTCTATATTCATATAAACATACATGTGTTTTGCATTTGAATATATATGCATTCGTTTACAATATGATTATTAACTTTTTTGATAACATTCACAAAAAATTAGTCTTTTCTTAATCATCTGCCCAAAAGCGTTCTGGCCATCACTATTTTTGTGATAAACTCTCGGCGTACTTTTGTATCAACGGTCTTTGTAAAATTTGACTTCATGACTTTTGACAATTTTGAATAAATGAATTTTTGGCCAACCCTATTTGCAACAAAAACATTCGCGCGTTAAATTGCTTAATCCTTATCAGTTGGTCAATGATAATATACGTCTGTTCATGGCGCTTATTTTATTAATGGCTCTAGTTAAGGGATTCAAAAAGCGGCTTAATGTGAATTCATGCTCTGGTCTTTGTCGCCAAGTGATATTTTACAGGTTCGATGTAAATATAGACGAACATGTTTTGTTCATGCATGTAGGCGCCGTTCACGTTCAGCGAGTGGAAATCCTTATCTACTGGGACCGGTGTGTATATTTGATGCACTTTACTATCTGTGACTTAAGCATTCTATGAAACCCTACATCCTACGGTGGAAATACGTCAGAACTCATCCAAAACATATTTAAAACATTTTGAGTGATAAAAAGTTGAATATATACTATAACCTCTCGTTTGATTTTCCGAAACAACATCAGTTCACCGCTTTCCACTTCCACAACCGAAAAACTACACTTTGTAATTGATATATAATGTTGTAAAAGCCATGCACGTTCTGAACGACCGCGGGTGTCAATGTTTGCTTTCTTGACTTTAAATGCTGCATGTTTAGTTGCTCCCCGCGATATGTGCAAACTAGATTATATACGCTATAAGCGTTCTATTAAGTTAGAAAGAATAGCTTGTAACGTATATAGCTTCTATATACTAATAGCTTGTCACGAATGTGGCTAAACAACCGCCTAGTCGACCTGCATGGGGGCTTTCATCTTGATGCTAACTGTACTGACAGAGAGCCTTCGCTCGAAACCTCCAGAAGTTTTCGCCAATATCTTAGGCATTTACCGAACCACATTTGATGACAAGTAATATATTATATATAGCTGGCATTTTTTTAACTTGGCAACGCCTATATAGCTACATTACGGTTTTGAATACATCCCACAAGTTCGCATGAAGGCCAGTTACTACGTATTTCGAAATTCAGCAATATTTCGAAATTGTTGTAGTATATTATTTTTATGTAGTCAATTTGCTCTTGTTTATAATGCGAAACAATATATAATTCGCATCCTGAAATTAAAGTGACCTTTTTGCGTCAAATTTCCGTGTTACAATTTCCCTTCTTCAGTTCTTCTTAATAAGTAAATTTGCGAATTTGTTCATGCATGCTTTCGCGGAGTCGACAATTAAAAAAGAAGAACGGTATTCAAAAATGAAACTTTTCAAGTCCGTGTAAAATTTGCCGCTTTATCTCAAAAGGTATATATAGCGTCGCGGTGATATCAAAGCACACAAGGTTGGTTCACTCAAAGTTGTCCTTTTCTTGTATATTGTCACTGAAACTTAATTCTTACTCCTATAATGAATTGGATGTGCAAAATCAATACCGGAGCACCTTATGATAAAACAAGGAGCGACAAAAAATTAAAGAGATCCCTTTTATATTATCGTACAATATAAAGCGTACGTGTACATACATAAAAGGATGGGATATAATTATTATAGCCTTACATCTCAATTGACGTACGCTCGAGAAATTCGACAAACTACTCGAGATTATCGCGCATGAATCGTCCATATGTTTACTTTTATATGCTATCTTAACAATATGATATATGGTTGATATCTTAATAATCGTTTTGGCATAATATATAACACTATATAGGCATAAATGCATTGGCTATTGCTTCATGTTTATGATATATATATATATATATTATATATATGTATCCAATATATGGCAACATGCCGACTAACGTGTGATATTTAGTTTATCGATTTTCTCTTCTCGGCAGTCCGAAATAAAGATGCATCTGTTAAGATTAAAATCCGGCGATTTTTTTATATTTATTATTGCGACAGAAAGCCAGAGAAACCATATACAAATATTAGTCGTGCGTGATTAAAAAGATGCTCGGCGCAGTTCGCATGAGCTATTTGCATGGTTAATGAGCAAAAAGTTGAAATCAGGACTTTCCCACGAAATTGGTGGTTAGAACATTCCGGCAACTGTATTGATGTTATGTGGGTGATGGCAGGCAAGCCTAGATAATGTTTTCTAGGCGCTCCGGTGCATTCAGGTTGCAGAGCAAGGCGGAGTACATTTCTACCACCCATGCAGGGTTTCCACAAAAGTTTTATATCGTTTTCATTGCACTGTAGGATTGGAAAATGAACAGAGTCAAAGAATTCGTGGAAACATCGTATAAATTGTGCTACCAATATTGAGACTCCTATGAATTAGAATTCCGATAAATGTCAAGGATTAAATTCCTTTGGTCATTGAAATACAGAAAGAAATCATAAGTAAACAAAAAAATACACGATAAATTTCATACAATCAGAGCTATAGCAGTTTTTACAGTACTGAACTAAGATAGCTACATATACTTATAGTTTATGCATGAAGATCATCGGTAGAGAAAAACGACAAAACGACAGTTTTGCATTAGTGAAACATGGGCATGCACGTCTTAAACCTAATAAATGGATATTAATTACTATAACGGGATGAATAATATCGTTTTCAAATGATAATTACTGCATGATATGTCAAATCTATTATTGTGGTATTACGATACGAAACCACAGGCTATAGAAAAAATATACCGCGATTCCACGATATATTGATGCCAAAACCCCGCGCGGTTTTCATCGCCCATGCAGACATGCATGCATGCCTGCTTTTATTCCATATGACATCGTATATCGTCCGAAGTCTCTATTCTAATATACACGAACTAAACCACTCAGTCATGTGATCATCTGTATGAATGAGCAAATGACTATAAAAGATAAGTTTAATCCAATTTATTTTCGAGGTTTTAGACAATTTTGATTTTCGTGCAATTTTCGAAGCCACCTTTTATAACAGGAAAGGATTGTCCTTTTTAAAGAATAATCTTTCATTGCACAGGCAAAAAAAGCAACAAAAAAATGGCCCATTTGAACAAATTTTGGGCAGGTTTTTAAAAAAACGTCCATTAATATGGTCAGCTCATGGAAAAAAATGACATATTATTGTGTCTAAAACGTTAATTCCTCCATATATAATTCTAGTCAGCTTATCCTGCATCAAATATTTAAAGCCTATAAGTATGGCTATAATAAGTATACTTCAAATATCCTGTGATAAGAAAATTAGCTGTTTTGTAAAACGGTGTTGTTCGTGAAAGGCTTGCTATTTGGCCGTATCGTAGATGAAATGTCATTAAATGTGTCATTAAAGAGGAAATTGTGTTGAAGAAAAATGAAAAATTCATTTTTTCACTGTTTAGGTAGCGTGCATGCGGAATATCACGCCCTTCGTCGTGTCCGATCTTAACTTATAAATTATTATTGATCATTACAGAACGTTTTATGAATTCATTTCAGAGCACGCATGCTAATCCATACAAACCCGTTGTTGATCTATAAATGTGTTGTTGACCTAAGCTGCAAAACGTGACTTCCTAGTCGTTCAAACCATTTTTGCTGCGTCATTGGGAAATTTACCATTGGTGCGATATAAATAGCGAATTAAAATAAGTTTTCACGTAGCGTTTGGAATTGGGAACAAGATATTTTGTTAATTAGTGCTAAAGCCACGAGTTGAAACATGACATTTCTCAAGAAAATAATTAGAAACAGAACGTAAACAAACGCCAACGTTTATACTGTGTCCTTGTAGATATATAAGTGAAAAGATAAGAGTCAAGCTCTCACAACCGATACATACACCGCAAGGAGTTGTGGTAATTGTACGCAGCAACTGCAAAAGCCATATGTATTACATTATGTTTGATGCATGAATTCACAATATAAGCAATATCTGGACCAAACTGGTCATCCAAGAAAACAGTGTTTTTCTTTCATGAGATAAATCATATCGTATACAAACACGAGCAGGCTACTGAGTATAAGAAATATATAATTCTGGATTTTGATGTTGTTGAATATCACAAAACCTTGAACCATTTTTTAATTTTTAATCCAGTTAACAGCTTTTGTTCATGTCTTCACTCTTCCTCGAATTGTCTAAAAAACATATGGAATGATAACCCACAAGTTTTCATTTAAATTCATATAGCTACTTAAATTTGTGTAAGCGGACAAATTGTTCGCTAATACACTGACTGCAAATGGTTTCACCCAAGCTGCAACCTTTGGGCTGATACTGCATGACGTATAAGGGTTGAGACTATTAGAGACGAAAAAAGGTTGGTCGTGCATGGACTATTTTATTTTGAGCCACATACTATCTATTTCGCGATTCTCATGATGACATTTAAAAACGTTCGAGAATGCATCATGTAAAATATATCAATAAGAGAAAGTAGTTCTAACAGTCCTGTATTTCCCGACGTGAGCTGTCACATTCAAACCGAAAAACATATATTAAGTGACACATTTCTGTCATTGGCAACGTTGTTTGCCTCCACGAACAATGCCAATGACTGTCATGCCAAGTTCCTTTAAGTAGTATAGTTGATGAAATCTTTGACGTTCTGTTTGTCTATAGTTCGATTTGAATGACAATGAAAACCTGCAAAAAATACACTCTTCTGCATGAAAGGGGCGGAGGGCACGTTTACCACAGACGATGGGGAGCGATATTCACTACGATATCTACCCCACATTTTACCGTATTAAGGCATATTTTATAAAATAATTTTTCCAAGCGATCCAAATATTCATTGTATAGTCAACTGAAACAATATATAATCACGTGAAACAGCATGCAAAAAGTCATGGTAAAAAGGAAAATAAAAAGCCTTTCCTACGTTTCACAAATTTCTACTTTTTAAATTGCTAACTTTCCGACAACTTTGTGAACAATATAGTCAGTCATTTTTACTTTCACTCACCGCGAAGTTATATTTGCCCTTCCTTAAGTCGCCCTTCCTATGTTTTTGGATTGTGTTCGTGGATTGACGTGCTTGCCTGAGATCCCGTTTGTAATACAAGCTCTATATATTGAGTGTTTATTGATCCCTATCCCATTTCGTTGGGATGGGATCCCAGCAACAGTTGCCCAGATCTCGCCCTAGCAGGATGAAAAATTCACATGTAAACCATTCACGCACTATAGACAAGATGACCTTTCACTGACCTTTACCATTTCCATGATAAATAGAGTAATTTTCTGAGAAAAGCTTGAGGTCAAGCGCTCAACTTATAGGCATCCGTTCCCAGAGTATTCGCTCTGTCCGATCCCGGGAATGCTTTTGCCAATATCAACACGCTATGTCATATAGCTTTCATGACTAGGCGGACTAAAAAAAGTCACGTCCAGGGTGGAATCACATAAACAGGCTCTTGAAATGCAGTTAGGAAGTGATGGGAAGCAAGGTCAAGGGTTTTTTGCTTCCGAATATTCCATTACTTCAAGTAGGGCTTTGTTTGCATGTGTACTTCTGTTATCATCCTTCAATACGTCGGAATAAAACGGATTAGCCGTTACGTACATGCATCTAGGTACCCCGTCCTGCACCTTGAACCGAGAAGAGCCGGAGAAATACATCCATGCACAACCAGCGTTATGAATTATGCCGGGGACGCGTGTTGCATTACAAAAACAAATGAATCTGCTGGTTCTTATGTTTCGGCTTATTTCTTATGTTTCAGTAAACATGTTTATAAATACGAAAAGGACCAGCCAGCTGATCTGGGTATAAAAATCAACCAATCAGAAGCCAGATCTTCGACACAACTGAATTATCATTTCCTTTATTGCATATGACTTCGACACTCGAAAATATCAAGTTATTTTTCATATTTATGTGAAAACACGTTTATTTTTCTCCCAACTGCATATTAGAATTTAAATTTTTCACCCTTTATACTATTAGCTCGAAAAATAAGGACAAATAACACCAGGCACATGATAACTCAGTTTTGTCGAGACGCTTTATGACGTCACGATCTCAGATCAGCTGGAGTATGATTACATTGGGCCAGTCAGCCCATGAAATACACCATCATCATTACCTAAGGGCGCTTCCCTTTATACGGTAAAAACGACCAGACTGGTGCTGTTCGGTACTGGCAGATTACTGGTATTTTACAATGTTTAATGTACTGCATTTAAGTATATCGTTTTCACATCTGTCCAACACGGAAAATGCAGTTTCACCGCTATATTCTTAACGAAATACTCCATTGTTTTTCTAGGATATGGCCACATGGTCCCAGAAACTTTGTGGGGGCGACTTTTTTGCATATTGTATGCCCTGTTCGGGATACCTATCACAGCCTTGATGCTTCGTTCCGTCGGCAACCGGATCACAGAATGGAATATATCAATGATCAAACTTTTTGAACGACGAGTTTACAATCGTGAAACGGAGAATGCTGAGATCAAAAGCGCTGTTATTGCGTTTGCTTTGCTTTGGATTATTATACTGCTGTCGGCAATAGGGTTTTGGCAATTCCAAAAGGATTGGGATTATCTTGGATCAGTGTATTATTGTTTTATAACTTTCTCCACGATTGGATTTGGTGATCTGGTTCCGAACGATGTACGAAGGGACGTTGGGAATAAAGATTATCAGGTAAAGCGATAGCCTCGGGGCAGGGAGGTGAATGTTATTTTGATCTTGACAAGATCTTGACAAGGAAATCCTGAATCCACACACTCTTGCAACAGGTAGCCTGGGGGGTAAAATTGGAAGGTTGATTGTGGAAGATATTTGGCGGGTAAAGAACAAACCACTTTTCTTCTATGAAAATCATTCCATGAAATTTAATATCTGTGAATTTACTTGCAACTCAGCAGCGCAATTGCATAACAGAAACTTGTTTTTCAAATCTCATTCAAATAATAATGACATTTACAAAACGTTGATTGTCTGTGCAACGGTTCGGGTAGTTTCCATCTACATGCATTTATAATGTAACATGTACAGAACTATTACAGGTCTCAGTTATGAAATTTAAATGTATTGTTGGTAGTCAGTGATTAAGAACTGTCATCAAAATATCAGCACCTTATCCTCAAGTGATCGCCAACAATAACCATCGCTAACTGTTGGTAATTAAACTATGGTTTTATCGATTTATGGATAGTCACGCAGCAGGGGCGTAACTTGACCCTAAGCGTTGGGGGGTGTGAAGAAAATTTGCCCTACCAAAGGGCGTGATTTGCAACAAATACGCGGAAAAGGGCGTGGCAACCAAATGCAATTATAGCGTCTTTTTGATAGGCTGTGAGACAGTTATATATTTATTACGCAAACCCGGCTGCATAAAACTGAGAGCGAGATTTTGACTTCAAAATATTTCGGAAATTATTGAAATCTACGAGGCGCCACCATGGTTGGCGCCGAGAGAAACATTTTCGGTTCAAATTCGGTCCTCTAGATCGTCGGAAACGGCCTTCTCAGACTGGCAACTTTCTCTCGGATTGTAAGTCGCACCACGCCTAATTTTCAAGACTTCCCGCGATATCTCCTGCAAATTAAGTTAACAAAAATCTCAAGTTCTGCGCATTTGCAGTCTCTCTAACCATCGAACCCCTACTTGGATCGATTTTACTAACTTACAATTCTTATAGCTGCATGTAAATTTAAAGTTTCGTTAGTTTGTTTAGTATTCATCTGGTTTTTTTTTATTAATTTGGGCACAAATTGTCCAGCCTGAACCCAGCGGTCTGCCCTGCAAATTCCCAACAAATTGCCCTACCAAAACACTGTTTTCAACAATTGGGGGGGGGGGGTGTCACACACCCCCACACCCCCCCTACACCCCCCCAACAGTTACGCCCCTGTCACGCAGTACAATGCGGGGATGACATTATTGTATATTGTATGCCCTGTTCAGAATACCTGTTATCCACGAAACGTTTACAATTTACAACGGCCAAACGTAAAAGTTTTAGAAAGAAGATTAAGATAAAAACTGTATGTTTCTTTTGTTTAGGTGTTCATCGAGTTCGCAGATTTGCTGTATCTTGTGATCGGCTTAGCTATAATGTCGAGCGTTGTCGTAGCAATCTCGGGAGTCATCGAGACGAAAACGCAAATGCTGGTCGATCCAATGGAAGCGTTCCGACGAATCGATATGGAAAACTTGAATTCGGTGGCTGTTAAGAAGTTAGGTCTGAAAATGAATGGTGCCGATAACCTTAATTCAAGCATGGGGCATCAGGCCAGGAGGGCAAGTGAGGTGCCAAACGGTATGATGAACAGAAGAGGTAGTAGATTTCCGTACTGGGAAGAACAGAGACTTCAAGAAAGGAGCAGTGCTGACAGAATTGAGCATGTAGGACCTGCTCCAGTAATTAGTATACCAAAACAACCAAGTTCGTCTAGAAATAGCGAGTCGTCAAAGGCAACTAGTAATGGTACCGCAATCCCAAAGAAAACTGACAGTTTGGTAAGTATGTTTCACTGTGGTACACCGTAACATACCTGAGACATTCCAATTGATGTATTCGTAAGTGTTTAGGTTTGCCTACCATTATGGCAGCACTGCTTGTCTGCAGTACTTTTTAGAAGTAAATCTTAGATATCGCCTACTAATTTAATAATTAAACTGTTTTGTAACTCCTAGTCTGTTCCAGTGGAACACAACTCCACAGCCTGTTCGCCAAGCATTACCCCACAGCCTCCTCCTGTCTTTAAATCAAACAAAGTCACACCTCTGGACGACAGTGACAACGAAGACGGCATCGTTAACGACATTTGTGAAACGGTCGACGAGACATTTTCAATCGAAGCAGGCGGAGCCAGTGATGAAGAGGGAAGCAAGGCCAGCGGCCACACCGATGAGTCAAGCCTAACGGGAATATATGAATTGCAAAATGAACATGAAAAAGTGATGAAAATAGAAACTACGGAATCTTTTAAGCTTGGCAATTCAACACATTGGGAAGATGTCGCGTAATTTTTCGTCGATTACCGAAATATAAACTATACCCGTTTTGATTTTCATGCGTTCTGTGTCAATGAACATCAAAGATGCTATCTTTCTTGTAAAGGTACAATTGGAATTTTTGTTTTCACTGCCTTTTCAATAAGAACAGTATTTTGTATAGTTTAATTAAGTTGTTTTGTTGCAACTTTACCGATGGAAAAGTATGGCGTACATTTTTTATCCAAGTGGAGCAAGAATGCCATCTTGCTAGTGTCGTAAAAAACAAGTAACTATTTTACTAAATGCGAGATGATGATGATGATGATGATGATGATGATGATGATGATGATGATGATGATGATGATGATGATGATGATGATGATGATGATGATGATGATGATGATGATGATGATGATCATGATGATGATCATGATGATTGGATGATGATGATGAGATGATGATGATGATGTGATGAGATGAATGATGATAAATGTGAAAGGAGGAGGTATTTGGCCCAGGAGAAGAAATGATTTGCGAAAAGAAAAAACAAAGTGGCAATCCAAATTTAGTCATGATAATTCGAATGGATGTAAATTGAAGTGCTGGCCAGTGTCAATGAAACTCGAATGGATGTAAATTGAAGTGATGGCCAGTGTCACTGAAACTCGAATGGATGTAAATTGAAGAGCCGGATGGCCAGTGTGAAGGACGTCCTGAAGGAAATCGGTATGATAACAGATCCTTCGTTTGAGAAAATGAGCCCACTAAGGGAAAAGAATGGGAGCTTCGTTTAGCCACAAAAAATAAATTAAAAGTAAGATGCAGGGACGACCTGATAATTTGCGAGTAAGTTCGGCGCGTATGAAAGTCATTTTCATTTTCATCGTCTCTGCATATATGTGATCTGAACGAAAGACTCGACGACTCTGCATCACGCAGGCATCAGAGTCAAACAAATATAGTGACAGAAGATATATTTATTAAACAATCAAAATCAGTAGAGGGATTTAATTAATTTGTCGTGAAGACAAAACAGGGTCCGTAGAAATGCGGTAATAATTTTTTGTTCAGTAAATCCTAAATACACGAATTTAAACGTCAAGATTAGGTCGGAATTAGGATTGGATTTAGGATTGGATTTAGGGTTGGATTTAAGATTAGTGTTAATCCTAAATTATTATAAATCTAACCCGAAATCCTAACAAAATCTCGTGGATTCAGTTTGTGTGTTTAGGATTTACTGAACCCATACGGATTTACTACCAGAGATGTCGGTCAAAGTAATATAATTATTTTAAGGTCAACTAGGCTATGCTGGTATAGAACATAGTGCAAGTTGCATTATTCGCCAAAAGAATTAGGTTATTGTACACCTGACAATATTATTAGAAAAATAAATACATGTCGAGACGTCGTGCAGGGTTGTAAGATCAAAATTTTAAGTCAAAGCATACCGACATATTATCTACAATAATTTATAGAGTTATATTAAAGATATTGTATAGCAGTTAATATTATTTAATTTATTCAACACTTGTACATAGCTATTTCATATGTTATCAATAGCAAGAACAACTTGTACAAAGTTTTGCACCATAAATATCATGAAAATAAATTCCTTCAAAAGGCCGTAGTGACTCCCGCTTGATCATGAAATTTGACGATGAGCGGCTGCAAAAACTTTCATTCGTACAGGTGAGCATACGGAGCTGTTGAGGGGTATCAAATACACATTTGCTATTTTACAAAATATCGTTATTTGTCTTTTATCGCTATCTTGTCGTTATTAAATCACTTTTCTTTGGTCCACATCCAGCCTCGTTCCCAGGCCCTTCGAAGTACTTTTCGCAACCTCCCCAAGCACTCCAGGCTCCAGCACCAGCGCATTTGTTGCATCTTCGCGAAGTACTTCAAAGAGCCTGGGAACGAGGCTGGTCTACGTAAGTGTTAAAAAATAAATACATCTAAACTATTAACACATGCATACAGCAATCTAATGATCTAATCCGTCATTTTTGAATGGAATTATTCCAGATAAATCACATGGGTTAACAGATGCATACTGAACTATGCGGAAAACTAAGTTCTTTCGATTTATTTAGCTAGCTTTTTTAAATATGACATATATATGACGTGCGTGCACGTTGTACGTGCGTATAAAAAATGCGTAAGTGGAAAGCAGCCAAAGCACCGAAAATTATTCTGCAACTTTGTCACCAACCGATTGTCACCTTGCGTCGCGTGACGTCCCTTTGACACCCCCTAACGTCTTCTGACACTCTCAAACACTCCATCTCCAGAGTGTCACGCATTTTGTGAAGGATACCCTCAGTAAATTAAGACTGGCTTTCATATAACATAAATTGTTGTAGTTCACATGTTCGTGTAATTCGTTGTTACAACAAATTAAGATGTGTGATTACGACGAATTATGATAAATTATATATGAAATTTCGTAGTTTTTTTAGATAAATATTAATTAGATATTAAATAAAAACCCAATTCTTGTTTTAAACAACTTAATATTTTTCGAAATATACTTTATTTTGATTTAATATTTATGACCGTGTTCTTCGATTGGTTTCATAAAGAATGACAAAAGATATAATCGAATAAATACTGCGGAATGGTTCATATTTCACAACAACCTTTTTTTGGGCTATTTGGCTAAAATATGAGGCCAAATGGTGCACCATGCTAAATTGCCCAAAAATTTCTCGCGTTCAAATTATCACGCATATTTGGGCTGCCTACGATCGGTTTCAAGGTTTAAAGACCCTGGGTAAGAGGTTGGGTTTCATTACACATACCAACGACAATATGTTTACACAAAGTATTACTATTGCGAAATATTAATACCGCTAACAAAAATTATTTGATCACGGGCTCTTATGATTCAAAACAACTTTACAGAGGATGACTTGTCATATAAAACGCTGGGAAATTTTTGTCTCTGTTCGCATAGAATAATACAAATAAGTCTGGGAAAAATAGTGTTAAACCTCTTCAAACAAATGGGTAACAATTCTTTGTATCCCTCACTGCGAACCGTAGGCTATTAGGCTATTTAGCCTGATATTTGGCTTAAGGATGAGCCAAACTCCACAAGATTTTACGAAAAAGACTATAGTGGACCTCGATTCGAAAGGCTTCAAGGACAAGTTTACCACAGACGTCCATCAAATATATTGGTCAAAACGACAACGAAAGATATGGGTTGCTTCGCTGTTTTTAGGCTCCGTTATACTGTACGTAACTCGTGTCGCAGGGCCAGTTACAGTTGTCGCTATGGGGCAGGATTTGGGATGGGATAAAACTGTCGCTGTAAGTATGAAGTTCCTTATAAAGTTACGTACAGATTGTAGCTTACAACTTTTCGAGTGTGAATGTTTTTTTTCCATGTTTATTCACTTCGTTATTGTTTGGATATTAAATGCATGTTTGTACGTGACCTGTGATCAGAATGTTGTTAATTGCAACTTTCTTTTTGGTTTGTGTTTATAAACACAACGAAACGTGTTGATCGAATTTCCTTAAATGAATTCAAAGATATTGAAATAGACTAAAGTTCTGTTCATACGGGCTAATCTTGACGGATCAAATTCACATTTGGCTTATTGAAAATAATGATAACGTCTGTTGAATACTATAGAGTATGTTAAAATGAGTAAATTTAAACTGGAAGGTTTGCTTATAAAGACATGGCGCTGAGTTTTGCACTGAGTTATATATTATTGTATTACCATCCATACAGCAGTTAGTTTCATAACACAATATATGTAATAATAAAAACAGTTCGTAGCTGTGTTGGATTCATTTTTGCTTAGATTGAAAATTTAAAATTCAGTCTCTGATAGCTAGGTCAATTCTTTAATTAAAACATATCTATTGATTTGTGGCATTACTGTACAGCACAAGTCAACAGCTTACTGTACAAGAGATTCATTAGAAGGAAATTGAATCTACCAAAAAATATCTCTAGTGCTAGTTATTCACCAGAAATCGAATTTCCTTTGTAATGTATCACAGGCTCCATTAGTTGCACTGTCGCTAGTTGCCAGCTCCATTAGTTGCACTTCTTTTTCAATTGTGGCATTGCTTTTAAGATATGGCACAGTTGTTAAAAGAGCAGTTGCTATAGCTTTACATATGGAAGTACAAGACTGAGACAGCAATGATTTTGCTTATTCTAGACATCTTGTTTTATTATTTTTGAGTCAACATGATGACCCTAATATTTTCTGATAAAAATTTCGTACAAGTAATTAAGGAAGTTAGTGAGTGTTTGAAAGTGGATTATTGATCATATTAAAGTAGTATTGAATTAACATGAATACTTATCCTGCAAATTCAAATCACAGTTTAGAAAAGTTTATAGTTAAATTTGTCAAAAACTTGCTTGTAGCTTGCAAGTAAAATACTACCAATAGGGGAAAATTATTCTGATCAGAATTGTTTTTGCTGAGGTATTTCCCATTTTCTTAATAGGCAATGCTACACAAATATGCTTTAATTATTATATCTATAATATTTAACTACCTTTCTTAAAAAAATTAAATGTTAAATCATAAGGTAGACCAGCAAACAATGTTGATTTATGACGTTACTAAGAAAGTCAAATTTTGTAGGACAGTTTTCTGAGCCATTTATGATTCAGACAATAAACTATATCAAATTCAAAATCAAGCACTTTTAGCCTTTTTTGACTTTTGCATACCTTTACAGGGTTACATGAGCTAATAGATGAGATCAGGCACACACTGCATAGATAGTTTTCATGTCACATTTCAATTAATGAGGTTGACCATTTTGGTGCACAACTTGAAAGGTATTCAAATTATTTCCCTAATCGATTTCCTAAAGAATACATAAGGTTGCAAAAATGAATCCCTGGATTGTTGTCTGTGCATTTTAGAAAGGACTGGAAAGTGTATTTTTATATAATATATATAAATCTATATTGATGAATAAAAAGAAATTCCTATTATTCAGTACTTTGTTGGCACATTTCTGTCATTGGCATTGGGCAACAATGAGTTTCTTCACAGTGACAATGTTCCCTTTCAAATTAATACAAAATCTTTTTCTCTTAACTAGTTAATCAGCAATGAAATATTTCAGGTCATTCTGTTTGTTTTAAATGACAGTGAAGGTGTCACTAAAAACCCAATATAAAATATGAACTGGCTTGGATTAAATTTGGATTAATATTATTTTATATAATTAAATTTAAAAATTTTCTTGATGTGAGCCTCTTAAAATACGGTCACTGAAGCAGCGATGAGAATCAAGTCATCTGTTGTGTTTGCGCTAATTTATGTTTCCCCGGAATCCAATTTAGTATAAATTTTTTTCATTATTTTGTATCCTTCCATTATTTGATTTGAATCTATTTATAATTGATGGCGCAAAAAACAGCTGCCTATGCCATAGTAAGTATTACTAGTGTATGGTATTACTTACTACTATATATATTGTTAGTTTGTCACGATAAAACCATTGGCATTGTCATTAGGACAGGAAAAGCGTCAGCGTTCGGCAAGGTAGTATAAATAACTGGAGGGGAAAATATCTCAGAGCCATAGCTTGCCTTCAACTGCAGTAATTAAATGTAGCTACATAGATTCTTTCGTTGACCTTGGAGAGCGAATTATGCACCTGCGCTGGCGCTTTTTAATATTAAATATTTTTGATGAATTACATACATGTAATTCTTCAAGTGTGATTCGATGATTAAACGAATCATTTTCTAATTACTAATACCGGTAATGAGATTTCAAGACTTCTGTTGTTACATAATGTTACAGTACGTAATTATTCGGGCCTAGATTTATTCAGACAAAGCCAGAATCTGTGTCTGTGACAGCCTAGAAGTAAATAAACATTTTCCGTTTGTGAATAGGATGTGCAAACAATCGGTGAATAGGCAATAGCTCTTTCTATCTGATCGAATCGACTCAGTTGAACAAATCGTGGACGACGAATGGAGATACCCCTTTTCATCTGCATCTGCATCAAAACACAGCATCCGCATTTCTCGACTTGTACGGGTGAAGTCGTGCTACATGTAGTTGGCAAATCGTACCGGTCGACGAATAAAAATAGGCCGCTCTATATCTGCCAACATGATGCATTTGCCTACTTTGACAATTTTCCATAACTCACAGACAGTCGGCGATGATCTGCGATCCAATAAAATTCGCCGACTGTCGAGTTATGGAAACCAGATCCTGACTAGTTAAATTGATTTGAGTGCAACTACGGTGCGTACGTCAACACCACAGGCTCATATTCTTTATAAGCAATTAATGTTGTTATATTATTTCACGGCAGGGCTCAGTTCTTTCAATATTCTTCTGGGGCTACTCCTTCACTCAAATTCTTGGTGGATGGCTCAGTGACACATACAGTAGTCAAAGCGTGCTGGTCTATTCATGCTTTGCTTGGTTAATATTAACCTTCATCACTCCGATTATTGTCAATCCTGAATATGCTGTGTTCATGACGCCAACATCAGCTTTACTACTTTTGAGGTTTTTGTTTGGCGCTTTGCAAGGTACTGAGGAAGCATATATGTAGGTCTCCGTCCAAATTTTGCATTAAAATTTCTTTTGCCTTTTATCACAGTTTTCGTTTTGTCACACTGTAAATTTTTATTACAGTGTATAGCAAATGCTCTGCTGTTAAAGATGTATGTCATGCATGCCGATCAAATTGTGCCCATGGCTTGAGGTGCTAACCCCTACAGCCTGTATTCTAAAAGCTCGTGCAAGCACAACTTATTTGTTGTTTATTGAAAGGGAGATCTCAATTACCTCGTAGCGAATCCATGACGGTTTCTCCACACGAGAGTATACCTTGATTTCGAAATATTTTATATCGGATCTTGACATTAGGAAAAGACTTTCTTATTGATCACGATTTAATCTCCAGTATCTCGCGCCCGATGAGTGTAGTGTAAATGAGTTTGTAAACTACGGGGTTAATATGCATTTCAAATTAACTTCACATTACAAAATACTGTATATACTATATAGCGTGATATTTCTCTTTTCAGGTGTATATTTTCCTGCTGCCTATAGCCTGATAGGAAAACGTATTGCTCCAAAGGATAAATCATTATGCACTAGTATCGTCGCTTCCGGTATATCTGTTGGGTATGAAAAACGTGATGATCACATTTTTAACAATTCTGCCATGAGCTAGAGTCTTATATGAGCTGATAATCGAAGGCGAATCCGTATTGGTTACCAGCCATATGCGACAAGAGCGAATGGTATCATTGTTATTATTACAACAGTGCAATTTTCTGTAGCATGATCTTGATTTTCTAGCTCCGTTCTATCTGGTATATTTGGATCCCTAGTAATGTCATATGTAAACTGGCATATGGTCTATTATATTTTCGGAGGAGCTGGTTTCCTTTGGTTTCTATCATTAAAATATTACGCATTGCCAAACGATATTCGCGAGTCTAAAGAAGTCTCGAAGCTCAGGGAGGAGAGGCCACCTGTGCCTTGGAGGACTATATTTTCCAAACCTGCCATATGGTAAGCTGCTATAAGGAATATCAAGTCAACCATGTCACCAGAGCCTTCTAGTGTATTACTAACATGCAATTTTAAACATCACAGTGAGTAGGGGACTGTTAATGGTGAGGTTGGCTATCTTTGATGGCGTACAAAAGCTTACCAAACGGAGTTACCATACCATTGCTAGTTTCGTTCTTATCAGTTCTCTACTGCAATTTCGGAATAGTCAGTCTCTATCACGAAATACCGCCCAGTACGTCATGTCTATTGATTTGTGCCTCGGCTCATTTGATACGATTCTTCGGCACACGGCATTAACGTAAATTACAATTACTTTCTGTTTGGTATTCTGGGACGAAATGAAGAAAAGTGTGATGTTTGGTGTTGAAACTGAACCGTCTTCAAAAACTGTTGACGTTCCATTACCCAACCCTGTGAAGTTTAATGCGGTCCTGAACTAACTGTTTAAACCTGAACATTATATAGGGCAATTGTGGTAGCTGCGTTTTGTCTTGGGACATGTTTTGATATGTTGTTTGCCTGGATGCCGACATATTTTCATGACAATTATCCAGATAGTCAGGTAGGCTGTTAACATGCTTTGCATATATGCATATGCCTTGCAGTTTTTACAACCCAAATTTAATAACGATGGCGTCAGTATTTCATCCTATGTTAAATCTGACGTCTTCTTTAGCAAAGAAACCCACCACCACACTGTTTCAATTGTCAGGATTTGATTTAGTTTTTACCTTGTAATCATGGATATGTGACTTGAAGTATTCAATGTATCAAATTCTCATATATTACGATTGCTTTCAAATTCCTCTCAACGTTTGTTTTTTTTATATCTGCACAGGGTGTCATATTTAATGTTGTCCCTTGGATGGGTCATCCTTTGATAGCTGTAATGTCAGGACATTGCGCTGATCATATGATAAGATCAGGTATCATTTTCATCCAGTACTTCTTACACGTGCTTTAGTTATGTTTTGCAAGAAATGCTCTTAGACAACAGATTTATCATAATTACCATTTATATAAGTCAACCATTGGCAAGTGCTAAAAAGGAAATATTGAGAGGATCCAACCCAGTTTCGCTGCGAAGCTCTTACCCACTTTTTAAACTTAGTGTATATTAATTTTTAAATTAATGATTGGACTGCATTTAGTGCATTATACCCTATTTTATATAACACCGAAAACTTCAAAATATTGTTTTTAAGCCATTTTTGACACTGTGCCTTTGGTATTGTTGCAGGCTACACGAATACATTCGTTAGAAAACTATTTCAGGTGAGCTGCTGTATGTTTTGATTCAACGACTGTTGATTATGTTTTAAACTTGCTAACCATGCTTTCGTATTCATTTTCAGTCATTTGCTCTGTTGGGACCAGCAATAGCCTTATTATTAATGAATTATCTAAAGACTTTTTGGAATGCGATATTTCTAATGACAGTTGCTGTGTCGTTCTGTGCGTTTAATGCCAGTGGCGCCACTGTTAATGTTCAAGAAGTGACACCAACCTACGTTGGATTCGTATTTGGTACGTTTGGTATGCATAGATAAAAGGAACAAAGATCTAAAGTTGACTTATAAAAGCAACTACATCAGTTGAGGTTGTCTTCATTGTGTAGTTGGAGCAGTAAACATGAAAATTCGGCTTGGTTAGGACAATCCAGAGGAAGACTTGCCATGCACTGACAAACCTTAGCTCATGCTAATAGCTGGCCCCAAATTAACTTTGGTGACCTGATACTGCATTCAGCTAAACTTGCTTCTCGTCTTCCAATTCTGGAAAGAAGCACACAAGAAGGCAACTGCAATTCTTTAACCAAATATATAAGTTATGAAACAATTGCCCTATCGTTCCTAGAGAATTCCCTAGCCATGCTTGAAATATATATATAGTAACTTTTCCACACAATTCTTCACCTCTCATAATCTAAAATTTTTACAGGGGTTATGAACACTATGGGGTCTATTCCAGGTAACACTTTGTATTATGTAGTTGTAACGTTTCATTATATTCATATTATAAGTCAATTGAAAATTAAAATGCTTGATTATTTCCATTACAGGTTTCATTGGTGTGTACATCACAGGATACATTCTAGAGACGACAGGTGACTGGGCGCTAGTATTTCAGGTCACAGCATTGATATCGATGATTGGCTGGGTCGTCTACGTCGTCTTCGGCTCATCCAAACGGCAAGTGTAGCAGGTTGTTGGAGGATGAAGTTGTGAAGAATAGCTATTTTGTGTGAATTGGTAGTTGGGTAGAAAACTGGATTCTGAAGACACCTTATCCTGCAGAAAACATTCAAGTCTCTTCTCTATCATGCAGTGTTACATGCTGGCGTCAGCATCCGCATATCTTTCCAGGAAAGTAGTCGAGTTGGGTCACAGAAAAGAACAATTTGAATCCAGTGGTCTGGGGTTCGTTTAATTAGATTTGAACAATCCTTCATTGCCATTCATCCTACATTAGAGAGATACCACAGAAGAGAATACATACAGAATATCACAGAGTACATGTGTGCTGTCGTAGATAGCCAATTGCTTTTTTCAGACCTTTATGGTAACTATTTAAATTCACTGAACTTACTAACGATTAGAGTTGCCAAATACCGTATTTAGCGCTTACAGAGTCGAAGGCTAACAGCAAAAAATTTCAAAATATGGCAATTAAAAGATAGGAATAAATTGTAGAAAAATATTTGGAAAAGGTATGCATGTTTGTATACTGTATAGTGTAGCTAGGTAGGTAGTAGAAATGTGCAGAAAAAATCAACAAAAAAATGAGACTTCTCGGCTGGCTAAAAGTGGATAGTAAAAATTATTTCTGCATGAAGTTATCTTAATATTTCACTTGAGAGGTGTCGTTTTTGGACTTGTACAGGGTGCCTCAAAAAAAACGCCACCACTTAAATATGCAAGAATATTAATATTGTTCGGGTTTGCACATAGTTCAGCTAAAATGACTTTTAGCTAAAATTACTTTTAGCATTTTAAATGAAGGATTAAGAGCCATTTTCAATTCCCAGAGGTACTTATGTATTGCGCTTTAAAGCTGTATTAATGTTCCTGCATGTTTAAGTTGCGTTTTTTTGAGACACCCTGTAGTGGTCGCAGAACAAGTCATTTTCATCGATGAGAAATCGTTCGGTTGTAAATTTGTCTTTATTTCTGTATTTCTGTATTCAAATCGGACATCGTTGACGGTACATGTATAGAAATATTCTGTCACAACAACCTTGACATGTTCACGACACTTACGATTAAGGCTGTGTGCTCACTGTAACGTTTTCACGTTCGTTTTCCTACCAAAACGGTTTCAAACACCGTCAATTTACAATAGGAATTGAAGCTAATTTAACATATACTAAGTATATTTTTCCTTCGATCATGTGGTCAGAGCGTCTAAACAATATACTAGGAAACAGGCAAAAACGATTTTGAAAACGACGCTCGTGTGCACATAGCCTAATGAATGTAAACCAGGCATTATTTGCTGCTCTGAATTTAGTGTAATGATTGTTATTTATATTAAAAGTTTGAAACTGGGTTAATCACCTATTGGCCTAAGTGGGCAAATCACCTTTTAAATTACATTAAAGTACTTTTTAAGTGTGTGCAGCATGTGAAGAAATTGAATATTTTCGTAGAGCTGCATTCCTCTGAAGAATCGAGCGGGGGTTAGCTGTATAAAAGTGTATATGTTTACTGCAGACGAGAGATTAATTTTAGATGAATTAGTAGAAAGAGCAATTGCATGAGTGCCACTAGTACGAAAACACACAACAAAATTCAAGCTGCCATTGTGGAGTATTTTGATAATTTTTGCACTGCTGGTTCGATCGTTACGCATGGGTTAGGGCTGTTTCCACTTTCGCGTTTTTAATACGCACGTAAGTCTAAATCCTTATACATGTTACCTTTGAAAAAAACTAAGTGAATAAATCGAAGGAACTGAGTTTTCTGCATATTTAAGTAGGCATTAAGGCCGATCTACACGATGCGATTAGTCGTATACGATTCTTATCCTGACGTATGAAAAAGATTGGTAACGTCACTCTGTCTGTTCATCAGTTTATAACGAAATTTAAAATGTGACATCTTTACACGCATTTATTCGAATACATACGCCAGCATACGAATCGTATACGACTAATCGCATCGTGTAGATCGGCCTTTAGTTGACCTAGATGTTAAATAAATAAAGATTTAAAAGCATTTAAAATTTTCCGAACGTGTACGTGCGTATAATAAACGAGATCTATAGATATTTACTTTAATAAACTGAACCTACTAGAATAAATGTAGTACAACTTCATTCCAACTACGGGGTATTTTCCAAGACATCCGCCAAAAATAGGCAACAACAAATCAACAATTTGTGTAGCATCAACTGTTATTCCTCATTTCCTATAGGTTTTGGTAATATTTACGTAGCTACGTCAGTGGAAAGCAGTCTTTACTGTAAGGGCCTGGGTTATACGTTACTAACTACGCCTCTGGGATTTTAAAATTCGTTTTTGTCATTAGTCGTTGAGCAGACAATTGCTCGTATATTCGGCAGGTTCAAGCACAATGATTCTTAAAACCTAGGATTAAAAGTTGATGCTACACAAATTGTTGTTGCTTATTTTGGGCGGATGTCTTCGAAAACACCCTGTAATTGGAATGAAGGGTTGTACTATATTTATTCTGGTAGGTTTCAGTTTATTAAAGCAAATGAGAGTAAATATCCATAGATCTCGTTTAAGTTGTTCTGTTTATTGATATTTCATCATTAGACATTAATCGCAAACAATTATAACAGGCGTGTTGTACATGTTTGACGGGATTCGTAAAAGGGAAGAGTTTCTTTAAGGAAAACAACGCTTTCCTTCAAGATGGATTCATCGACAAATACAATAAGTATAGAACAAGAAGAAAAACAGGTAAAGTACCTTTAAATTACGTCCCTCAGAACTCACAACGGTTTAACAGCTGATATACACTTCACTACCGTGCATGATATTGCTTTTTATTATATACACAAGCGCCAGATATGAGGTATGCTGCAATTTCATTGGTTGGCTACTAGACAGATATTAGCTCATATCTGTCTAGTAGAGAAAATAAACAAAATGGTGGAAAGATTTGGGGAGTAGAGTGAAAGAGAAATCCAAGCCTAGTTGATGATAGCACACCAAAATGCACCGAAAGGGCGACAAAGTTTGTGTATATTACGCCCCTCGTCAGCTATCAGCTCATATACGACTCGAGTTCGCAGAATAACTGTTAATAATAAGTACCACCAGTTGTTTGTTGACTGCCCGTTCGGAGGGTCCATGCAAAGCTAAACAAACAACAGCGACTTTCGCGCCGCCGAGTTGCAGAGGCCTGCAATCATTTGTAATTTACAATTTGTGTAACCTGCACTCAGGCGGTCCCTAAAATTACGATTTGCGAGAATGTCTGAGAGAGTGAACTATGGATTTCGTATATTTTTGTTCAACGTAAATATTGCTTAAACGGCGCTTCAAAACTTAGGTTTGCTGATTGCTACAATATACTCTATAATATACTCTATACTCTATACTCTATAGCCTATACTATACGGTTGACCTAAATTAGTTCGGAGGGGGCGGCAACGGCGACAAAAAATGCAAACATACATCCGGGGAAGCAAAACGAGAGAAAAATGATGACGAATTGGAAAATAAAATAACTATAAGCAGTGTGAAAAGTATTATAAATGTATATATTGGGAAGGCGGTTCTTTCATTTAGAAATCTGCCATGATGCTTCTCCTGAACCTCCAATATTCTCCTGTTTTAATGCCGTTGGAAAATGCACAACCTCCGTTCCTTTATTGGGAATCTTATGGGAAGATCTCTGTCCTAAAACTTGCAATATATGCGGTTAAACTGCGTGTTGCGCTGGTATTTGTTTCAATTGTCATAACAATCAAGGTTTACTGAATAAATGTCGATAACTGTTGATAACCATGAAGCAGAAATGAATCACATTGCCTGTTAATCTACAGTGTGTCCAAAAAAAGTGACACTTTATAATTAGAAGTTATCCTATTGTTTTAATTTGTATATCTGAGCCTTACGCTAAATCAACAGATACATAAACATCAGCTTCTTGAATTTTAAATAACTCCTATTACAATAAAAGTCCACTTACAATGAAATCATGACTCAAATGACAAAACAGAGTCTTTGTAGTATAACACAGTATAATTTTATTAAATTCGGTTTCTCTTGTGCGTAATCATGTGATAATTTCTATAGTGTCACTTTTTTGGGGACACACTGTATATCAAAACACTCTTCCTTTAATTCTGCTTTAAAATGCCGACCAAGTTATCGTTTAGCTTTAATAAGGAAAACGATTACAGAGTCTATACAGACCGCTTTCGATGATCTAGACTTTTCAAGGAAAAATATCGTCAGCTGTTGCCATGCAACCATGATGTTCGCGTATGCGAGCGTTGCGAATACCGAATGCGATTCTCCACCATATGTTTTGCTCAAATACGATATTAAGATAGCATCACCGGGCACAACTCTTTTGAAATAATTTGATTATTACAATTCGTAACGAATGATTGTAACCTTAATAATATACCTAATAATAACCTTAATAATAATAACCTAATAACCTTAATAATAACTTTACACAAGTTCAAGCAAACATAAATAAAAGATAAGACAAATACTGTTACGTTGCGGTAATAGAGTACCAAATCGCTTGCTTATTTTCTTGAAAAACTCTTAACTTCCGGTTCATGGACAAGGAACGTATTCAAATCTGATTGGTCAATGAAATGCCCCAAAAGATTGCTCAATAATAAAGGGGATAAGTTGATCATGATTGGTTGGTAAAAATACCGTTACAGGAAGTAAGGTAAAGGTTGTTTTTCAAGGGGTTTTTTGATATATTTGATGAACTATGTACGTAACCAACTGATAAACTTGAGCAAATGAATTTGCTCGAAATTTTTCGGAATGTTTCTAATTTCGCGACTGGAAGTTCTCTAAATTTGCATTACATACTAGGGTACTTCTGAATACTTTCTGGCTAGTCGTGTTCAAAATAGGCTGTTTCCAAAAATCTGGAGGATTAGCATTTGAAAATGTTTTAACTCCGAACCAACTTCCTACACCTATGCATTGAAAGATGAAATTATGTCACTAGAACCTAATGCTCATGCAAATTGGATTAGGCCAAAAACCTTAGTATACCCATAAAATGCACATCACCCAATCCAGACTCGTGTATCCCAACCCCTCTCGTTTTAGCGTATATAAAAAATATTAAGGCAGGTTGTTTATCTGCTTTATTTAAAACTGCATTTATATGAAGCATCTACGATAATACAACATGTGGCAATTTTTGTTAAATTCTAAGCTAAAGTCTACAGTTCTCAAGCAACTAATGGATAAAGTAAGGTCAACATGCAGTTTGTCCGATCAACAATTATGATAGTGTGTAGGAACAAAATTCGATTTTTATCCCACTTCCAAATGATTTTTTACCGTCGGGAAATACACGAACACGTTCGTCTACGTTCCGACTGTCTTCAGTGTCCCACTGCAAGTATCCAGAATGAGGTCCAAGATAACGGCGTTGAGCTTTGGGACATTTTCCTTTGTATCGCATTAGAATAATTTCAGAGACTTTTGGTAGACCAGACAGCCGGTTTGATGTCCAAAACCCTTGCACACTACGACAGCAAAAGTATATCTTGGTGTTTCGACCGTAATCCCCATCTGGAAGGACCCCACTGCGACTGTTCTTATTCCGCGTATCTTCGTCATCCCAGAAAATATATCCTTCATTTATATAAACGGTGACAAAATAATTGTACGATAAAGTTGAGAGATCTACAGGGCGGTTGAACCAAATTTATTTAGTTTAACAGTGGATAAACCAAATGTGAACGATTGCATCTAAATCTGATATGCTTGCATTTATGCCAAGCCTA